TTAATAGCTTTAATAAAAATTTAATTATTAATATAGGCTGCTGCTTTTATAACCTAAAATTATATATTAAGTAAAATATTCTTATATAAAGCTATTATTTTAACTTTTTAAATTAAAATGCCTTTAAAGCGCTTGGCCATACTATTTTAAAATAAGAAGTATAAAATAGACTAGTTTTAAAAAATACCTTTAAAAATAATAAAGTTAGGAATATTATTACTAAAAATAGATTTATTATTATTAAATAGGAACTTTAAAGTAACTTTATAATAATTTTATATAAATTATATAAATTATTTAATAATATTTTTATAATTACTTTTAAGCTAGTAAGTGTAGGCCTAGTATATTTTAAAAAATTTATTATAAAAATAAGTTACTTATTAATTTTTATTTATTACTAGCTTTATAAAAATAAAATTAATATAAATATAAATAAATAGTTTAGTAATTAGTTTTTTAAGCTATTTAAATATTTATTAAAAAGCCTAATTAATTTAGCAAGTATTATAGTATTTAGGTAATTAAAAATTAAAAATATTAACTTTTTATATTATTATAAAAAAATACTTAAGTACTTTATTATTAATATATTTTAGGTGCTAGTAAAAAGCTTTAAAAATCCCTTAAAGCTATACTTTTTAAGTTAAAATTTTAATTTTTTATTAAGTTAGAGTGTTAGCCTCTTTTAGCTTTAAAATTTTTTTTTAATTTTATTATTTAAAGGCCTAAGAAATAATTTTTAAGGTAAAAAACTAGTTTATTATTTTTAAGTATAAGGGTGTTAAAATTTTAAATATATTTAGCTTTTTAAAAAGGCCTTGCTACTATAATATTAAAATAAAATTTAAAAATATATATAACTTTATATAATATAAATAGTATAATTTTTTTATTAAATACTTTTAAATAAATAAAAATTAATTTATAACCTTATATAATTATAATTATATTTTTAGCTTAAATATTATTACTTTAAAAGTAATTTAAAAAGGTAAAATAACTAAAATTATTATAAATATAAATAAAGGCACTGGTATTAAAAATAAAAATATTTTAAAGTTTTAAATTACTTAAAATATTAAATACTAGGGCTACTTTATAATATTTTTTAAAAATTATAAATTATATATTTTTTTAGCTATTTTACTAAGCTTTCTAGTTTTTAGTATTTTTTTTTTATTTTTAAAAAGCTTGGTATTTTTAACCTTTAACTTTTAAAGCTTCTTACTATATTTATTATTTTTTTTAAGTACTTTATTAATTTTCTTTTTTAATTTTTTATTTATTTTATAGGACTTTAAATAGCATAAATATATAAAATTATAATAAAACTTTATAATATATTTATATTTATAAAAATAAATTAGTTTATTATTAGTTAGTGCCCAGGAAGGTTTATTAATAAAAAACCTTTAATATTTAAATTACTAGTAAAGGGCTAATTTAACTCTCTAGTAAGCATAATAAAGGCTATTTTTTTTATAAAGGTTTTAGTAAAGCTATTAGTAATAAAAAGATACTATTAAAACTTAAAAATAAAGGTAAAATAATTAGTTTTACTAAGTTTTTTATAATTTAATTAATTTATATAGCGCTTTATATAAGCTATTAAGTATTTATTAATAATTTTTAAAAATATTATATTAATTATTTTATTATTAGCCTTAAATTACTTAAAATATAAAATTTTTTAATAAGCATGCTTATAATTTTAAAGCTACTAGGTAACTTTTTTTTATTAAATTAATATAATAAAAGTAGTAATATAATTATTAAAGGCCTTAAGTTTAGTTTTAAAATTAGTAAAAATAAGTTATTACTTTAATTTAATAAAAACCTTTATAATAAGCTTATTTTTAATAATTTACTAAATAAAAAGTATAATTAACTTTTATATAATATTATTAATATTTTAAATTTTTAAAAAAACATGCTTAATATGGTTTTATTTTTAATTAAATATTTTAAATACCTTTTTATTAGCATTATATCTAGGGAGTTAAAAAAGCTTAAAAAAGTTTAATAAGTTATTTTTAAATTAAAATACTTTTAAACTTTTATAATAATTATAATATATAAAATATAGCTATACTATACTAGCTAGTTTTTTTTAAACTTTAAAAAAATTATTATATTTAAGGTACTGGTAATAAAGCTTATAATAACTCTTAAATTAATAAATTAAATATAAAAGTTAAGGTTTAATTAATATTTAATTTTTTAGGTATAAATATAAAAAATAATTAACTATAAAAGGCCTTTATATAATAAAGGGCTAGTACTTAAAAAATATAAATAATTTTAAAAAATTTAAAAAAGGTAAAAATTTAATAAACTAAATTATTAAGCGGTTTTCCGGGCTTATAATTATAAGGCCTTTTAAATATTATATAAAAAAAAGCTGTTAATTATATAAATACTAAAAAATTAAATAAAAAATATAATAATATTTAAAAGCTAGAGCTAACTAGGGTTTATATAAATAATTTAAGCTTTTAAAAATAGTAAAAATTTTAAATACTTTTACTAATATTTTATAATATTTAAAAAACTATAAATATTATAATTATACAGGCAAGTAATTTAGTAGTAGGCGTTGCAGTATTTTAATTAAGACTGCCTGAGGCGCCTGAGCGCTGTCAAAGCACTACAGCGCTTCCTCATCGAACTAAGCGATCTCCACCATTGGCTGACATGTTTTTATGTATCAATTCCAACCCGGGCTTCTGGAACGACGGCGGGACATCGATGTTTCGCGCCTTTCCTATCGCGGCGGCATAAACTACTCCGTAAAGTTTGTCTAACTCTAGCCACATGGACCATGGGAAGTTTGAGATGATCCGCGAGCAGTGCAAATCAGTGGGGTTGGGTATTCGGCGATTCGGAGTTCTCGGTGGTCCATGGAGCCTGGACACTCAAAATCATTGCCCGAACAATGACAGCAACTGCTTAAGCGACGAGCCAAGTATCCTGCAGAGCAAGGATAATATGTTGAGCAGGCATAGGTATGTGTTCTGGCAGCGGCAATAATCCAAATAGCCTCATGATGTGGTTGGGCGTCGCGTCAACCTTTTTGGAGGCTAGAGCAGCAAGATTACGCTCTTAATTACCAAGGACTGTCAACGAGGGTGGAATGATGACGATTGAAGAAGGTTCTGTTCTGAGCTGTAGCTTGTATGCCATTATTCGCGGGTCGATTCATCTGTTTCTGTCAGCACTAGGGCTAGGTATTCCGGTGGGGCTGTCGTGAATGAGATTGTATTCGTATCTTCTGACCAGGGTCCATGAACAAGAATCCGCCAGAAGCAAAGCAATCTCGAATAGGTATAGGCCAAAACCTTGATTCTACTTGTGGATATAGACCAGACAAGTCACTGGACATTGGCAGCCCCAAAAGGCTGTACTCTCGGAGTAACTGTGCGATAGGTCGATTTTATAGGTAGGTAGATACGGTCCGTTTTGCTCAGACCCCGAAGCCCACTGGTCACTTCCGCAGGCTTTCCTGGCAGCGGACTCTTATCCACACGCCAGTCTTTCGGCTGGAACTTATCATCTTGGTCGATGAATGGCAATTGAGCAGCCAGAGCAAAGCCCCCCAAAAAAGAAAGAATAGAGAATCCCTGCTTCCCCGCAAATTGTGATGAAAGTCGAGACTCGATTGCCTCTCTTTCCCCATCACTTCTCATGCGCCGAGCAAACTCTCATTCCGGGGCCCGAGAACGGGATCGGCGGTCAGCACCGCACAGATACCCAGGCATTACTCTCGAGATCTGCCAGAGGCCCGTTCGTTGCAGTGTCAACTTGTTGGAGACTGATGGCGGTGTCACACTTCCGGGTTGACACGCGTTTCCCTGAGCATCTGAATATCGAAGAAGCAAACTCGGTTCTGCTTCGATAAGTGCATTCATTGGTGTTCGTTGCCGCTGGAGAAGAAATTGAGACAATCTGCACTGATTCTGAGGTCAGATGTGGATTGGTTTGTGGATGAGGGATTAACTCGAAGTTCGACATGGTTCTGGGGAATGTTTCCAAAGCCCAGGTTGACAAAACGAGAGCTCTAGGATGGCCCAACGTTGGAAGCTTCTAGGGGATCCTCCCGTCCATCGCCGGGACAGCATTTCCACCGTGGGTCGCAATACCAGACCCGAGTTGACACTGTCGCATTGAGCTGGACCAAAGTTCCTTTGTGCATAGACAATTCATTTGGGGCCTGATATTGATCGGCGTCGATACGACGAGGATGGAACATTAGTCGTCCTGTTGGTCTGGGTCGTGTTATATTCCCAATATAGCAATAGGGACTGAGCAATCAATGATTTTTGAACCTTCGAACCTAGCTCGGTAGCATGTAGCATCGCTGTCATTGGAGAACCGAGGGGCTGCTGCCATGTTATCCCCCTTCTCGACTGCTTGACTGCGTTTCTTGACTTGATGATCATTATGCTGGGTAGGGTTTCCGCTCGACAGAATATGCGAAGAGCTCAAAACATCTCAAAGAAGCTATATGATCCTTGTCAAGTGTGAAAAAAATAATCGACCTCGCAGAATCGATCGCCAACGTTCTAGGGTATGGAGACTTGGCTCGCCTATCAGACGATCGCTCGCCTTTTCTTCAGAGTGGCTAGACCTGCGTTCTGTACTCCGGAATGTATGGTTGTTTGTGTCTCTCATGCATTAGCCTGAACGTATGCCAGCCACAAAGACGTAGTAGTGCCAGAGGATGCCAACCAAGCGTTTTGAAAGCGTACTTTTTTCCCGACTTTTGTCGTCAACTCCAAATATAGCTGGACCACAGTTGCCAGAAAATGATATATCTAGGCCCTCCCAACCGGCATTTACCGTCTCATCTTGAAGGCCGTTCGACAGATTCTATCCAACAGCTCCCCGCTTGGGTTTGCCTTGTTATTTCCCGATCCCAAGCGATCATTTGGACGAGTTCGAAGCCATCCTAAATCAGTCGGCGTGTCTCATTGATCATGACAAGCCACTCATACAGGATGGAACCATTGGCAATGGGCGTCCCCGAGGTCAAGGGCGAGGAACATGGTCAGATGGCGTATCATGACATGGCGCCCCAGACAGCATCGAATGTATGGACCGTCCTGGGGTTGCGTGACCGTGGGCGCAAGTACTGATTATAACATTGTATAGGAGCTTCAGAGCCACCAGCCGGCCCAATTCGCGCTTCCTTACTCCCACTTTGCCATCATGTTTATCGATCAACACGGAGAACTCCAGGCCGAAACATCGCCATGCATTGCCGGCTGTGAGAAAGTAATCTTCACGGACGAGGTGCGGCAACGGTTTCTGAAGCTGGTCAACAAAGAGTGGCAACCTGGTCTGCAAGATGTTCCAGGTGAGTGGGAGTGTTGAGGGGAAGAGGAAGGAGGAAGGCTGCTGACTCCGCTAGGCATGGCGCTGTCCGCCGCTTCGTGGTACCGGTACCACGCGACCCAACACCCACCCGATAGCCTGATCCCCTATGAGTGGCAGCCCCCCCGGTACAAGCGACACAGGCACCTGCGACGTGTCAATCCGGATGATGCAAACGGATGGCTTCTTCCTTCTCCTGCCCCATCCCTGAGGTGCACAACACTTCGCGTCGGGCAGACTCAGGTGCTGCGCAAGTACTATGACAAAGCATTCGAGGATTTAAAACAGCTCAGCTGCCGCGTGGTAGCAAAGGCGTGGGTGAAGTTGGTGGAACCTCGGAAACAAGTCAACTTTCCGTACAACGGAAAGGCCCCGAGCTCCTCCAGACTGCCCAAGCCTCCAGGTCAGGACGAGGAAAAGCCTGACCCCGAGAAGACAAAGCCAACATGGTGGCCCACAGGAGTGAGACACAAAGAGCCGGTACGTCGATATCTCACTCTTTTTTCGAAGCCAAATAGCTTACATCGCGTCATAGGATCATCTCCCAAAACCTGGTGAGTCGTTTTCTCCATGTTCTGCCCTGTGGGACGGTCGTAGCTGACAATAGGCTGTTACGCAGAACGAATCCGGCTCCTGAAGCATATTCTCTGCAACCTGAAAGACAGCCACGATGTCACTGCAGCAAAACTGATTTATGCAAGCTTAGATGTAAGGTCGTCGATCGAGTCGGAGAAACAGAAATCAGTTTTGGACGAGGTTTTGTATGTCCGCAGTATGGAAGAACGCTATTTGGATGGAGAGATTAGTACGACTATCCTTGCTTCAAATCGGATGAGCTATAACGCTAACATCAATCTCACCTAGATGGCGACACCGTGGTCCACGTTTATTATGGTCATATGGAAGAGGAGCCCGAGACCCAAGGGGCTGATTCTGACCGTCTTGAAGCAATGATGGCTGCACAAACAAACCAGCAGCCGACCTGCAGATCGTACCGCAGCATGCCGATCATCACGCAAGAGCTTCCTCATCGGCCTTTACGGAACGGCAAGCGGCCTGCAGACTCTGAGTGCTATCGGCCTATATCACCCGTATCCGCAGGCAGCCGGGACAGTTCTATGGAGAGAAGTCTCGCAACCTATCCACCTGACGTAAAGCCATCTATGCTGCAACGGACTGAGCCAGCTAGAGGTGCCGCAACACCACAGAGCCTTCCTCCTGCGGGGCCTACCTCTTTACCCGACCTCTACGCCCATCAATTTGCAGCCCAGCCCCAGACTACCCATCCTGGATTCTGGGACACGCTCGCTGCGCCTAGTGCGCACCCTCAATTCTCTTTCAACGGATATTGAACGATTATTCCGTATTTATTTTATTGTTTGACTTTTTCTATCTTTCTTAGCGGGTTTGGGTTGTATATATAGGTGTCTTCTGGCGTGCGTCCATAGCGTCCTAATTCAGATTTCGGGTTCCCAACAAGCGCGTGGAATACGAGTAGATACACCTTCTGGCCTGCATACAAGAGTATCTGTGTTATAAGCAACATGTTCTATAGCCATGTCCATAGCATAAAGTAACAATCATAAATCGGCCCAGGCTCGCAGCTAGCCCTAACTTGTTGGCACCTTCAGATTGTCTGCAGTTTCTGTCAATGTAGATAGTTCCTGATTATTCCGGAGACATGCAGTGTACCATCGCAGCAGACTAGACACGCGCTCAGAGTTATAGGCAAACGATTCGGCTCGACGACGTTTCTGGCAAGCCGACATTCGGGATGGTCGTGCACCCATAATCGCCACTATCTGGAACAAGTCGGCGAGTTTGCGGCTCTCAAGAGTCAAGCTCCTTCGGCTTTCGAAAGGCGTCCGTCTCTGCCGACCCTGGGAGCCTCGGCGTCGGCATTCCTGCTCACGGTTTGCTGACTGAACCGGGAAATATAAGCACGGGCATATCGGGCAGGGGACAATACCCATCCGTCGGGTATCACCGACTGTGGAAAGGTTGATGGGTGGTGAATTCCGTGGGAGCAGTTGGTGGATAATCTGCTGCGGAAATAAGAGAGTCATTAATCAGGACAAAGTTTCTCAAAGGCAGCCATACGTACGCAGCCCTACAAAATATGGAGCCACGTCTGAAGCTGTCGCAGAACTGTCCCAGGTAACTGACCGAGGTCAGAGTTGCAGGTCAGAGTTGTACGGAGTTCGGACTCGAAGCTGCCGTGCACCGCCAGTAACCAGCCATGGCTACATTGGTTTCAACCTTGGAAGGCGTTGAGCAATTGGAGAAACTAAATAATGAGAAGCGTAGAATGTTGCACTGTGCGATGGAGGAGGAAAAGCGCGCGGTGCACGTGCCCCATGCCGTCCTAACCTGTCAATCCTCTCACTTTCACTTGCACCGTCATTCATCCCTCTTCTTATTCCCAACATCGAGAGACCTGTCGAGAAGAGCTATTAGTCTGGTCTGAAGGCGATACTAGTGACCGCACCTGGCCATCCTTTATTGCTTCTGTAAGAATGCATTGCCGCTCTTGCTGGAGCAATGCTAACAAAACAATAACTAAAAAGCGTACAGACCAAAGTCGATTACGGCCACTCCCTCAGAGTCCGAAGTCTGTCATCGCCTGCTGCTCCTGAAACACACTATGAATCCACAATAATGGTACCACCACGGAATGTACAAGTTTGTTCCTTCATTCGCTTGACAGCGTTCATTCATCCTGCGTCGAGCTGCCCTCTGAAGGAGCACGACCAGTAGCCCCGGACTCGGAGTCATACCCAGTTGATTGGGACTTGCCAACCAAGTCCTCCAGAGCGTCAGCCAGCTTATCCGGCATACTCAGAAACGGCGAGTGAGAACTTTTGAGCCGGTACGTGAGATCAGTTCCCAGTTTCGCTGCCATCATTTTTTGAAATTGGAGCGGAAGCGCTTGATCTTCTTCGCAGAGGATATAGGTAGAAGGAATCCAATGCCAAGGTTCGTATGTGGATGCTCCTGAAAAGACCGCGCGCGAAGTATGCTCGAGTTCGGATGACCACTTTTGCTGCTCTTCCAAGGTCAAATCATGAAAAGCAGCACTAGGCCCGGCATTGCAGAGGACATTGTCACCCTGATTATGGACCCGTCAGCACGTTTTTTTCATCCTGGGGGAGAGATCGGCTCACATTCACCTCCATCCAAGGCAGGTATTGGCTGCCGAGCATATCAAGGAGACTTTGTCCCTTATCGAGGGCAAACGCAGCCATGTATGCTATTCTGACAACACCACCTTCTTGTCCGGCTGCTTCGCGATCCGCTTTGGCGAGGCCCTCGACAGCACAGGAGGCAACTACACCGCCGTAGGAATGCCCTACGATAACCACATCCTTTCCCTCCACTTCCACCAGCTTTTGCAACACGGACTTCAGAGACGCGACGTCGTCTGTCAGGGTCTTATTTGGGGGCTCGGCACCGATGGAAGGGTGTGCGGGTGTTTCAGATGGGATGCCCTTCTCTGAGAGTCTCGCACGAACAGCGTCAAAGGTAAGAGGGGTTAACCATGCGCCAATCGAGAAGAGAATGGTGGGATTTGTCGCCATCTTGCTTCTGTTGACCTTGGTTTCGGGAACTCGATATCGAGGTTTCAGACCAAACAGCCCAGGCTCGGATTCTTATTTATGAGCATCACCCTCCCGCTCTCTCCACCGCGCGGGATTCTATGTGGGTTCTCATTACGACTTCGAGTGCCATAGGTTGGGTTACGGCACAGCCAGTACGCTGGCTTTGCAACCGCGCTATACACTAAGACATCATTGAAGTATAAGGGTGTGGATTGGTGGAATGCTACGAGCTAATTTCGACCCAAGTCAAACTAACTGGACTACAACTTCCCGAATGAAAGCAATGCATCCTTAGAAGCCGTACCCAGGACACTTGAGGTCCAAAAAAGGTGGCATGCACCTGCCGAGAGTCAGAGCCGTACCGGGGAAGTAGCGGGGACACCGCACCCAAAACCGGGGTACATTTGTGGGTCTATCAGGCCATATACATACGGTAAGGATACAAGACGCGCTTCTGCCTGGGGGCAGAGAAGTCGCCCTCATCGAGTGTCGCGTTATGTGACCTGCCAGTCGAAGTGCATCATGATCTTTCGGCCTCAATGTCGGCCTCAACTTCAGCCTCTTGCTTCGCTATGACCCCCTTAGCCTGTTGTTCGCTTCCCTCTGCGTGGCTCCTTGGCTTTTTTATAGGTACCTCGGCCCGCCCAACCCCCAGAGTCCGATGTGAGGTAGCATGATGCAATCGCAGTGTCCCTCACCAGACGTCGGCGGATACAGAGACGGAATGAATATCAAAGCAAATCCCAGGCACAAAATGCTGCTATAACTAAAAGATATATGGGTATTGAATGCGCCTGCATCTGCTGTTGCGAAACTCTCTTCAAGGACCAAGCAGGTGGGTCGTGGGGGCAGGAACAGAGATACCGTAGGGTGCCTGCGGCTCTTAGTGTCTGCGAGCTTACCACTAGTTGACCACTATATGTCGCTTGATGACGGTCTTAGAAGAGACGACATTCTGTCAGGCTTCATCACTCCAACCCTAATTCTCTTGCCTACTGTGGTGACAGACGTTTTTTTCCGATCGCATGGACAGTTTCAGACTTGTGCTACGGGAAAAGCCTCTCGCCAATCAAGTCGAGCGACAGCTGCAATGCCAAAGAGCAGAGGGTCTTCCCGCTGATGCTGTTCTGGTTGCTGCTTGCAGGAGGCAAGCTCATCTCAAGTAGGCCAAGCGCGCTCCTCGTGACCAAGCTTCATGGGCTGGCACTTAGCCGATTGATGTATGAGATAGATGCTCCGAGCAGAGAAGCCGGTTTACGCTGTAGCCTGGAGAAGATGGCCGATTTTCGCAGAGGCTGATGCTGACCAATGAATGCGGCATACGGTGTCTGTGCCACGGTGGTTGAACAAAAGCCCAGTCTTGGGTCAGGAGATCGTTCCTTGGCCATGACATCTACCAAGCCCTCGCCACTTGTTACTTGCTACCTATGTCACAGCATCACTTGATACTGGTACCACCAAAATGAGCGAATATTCTGCGCCACTGACTGACCGGCTGCCTGTCCCCCGCATCCACTCAGCCCTCAGTATAAAATGGCTGCTCAGCCCTACTCATTTGAGTTCTGACATTTCCTGCCAATCTCATAACCGTTGACTTTCGAATATTATCATGCCTGACTTTCAGCCGTTTCTGCAGCGTTTCCTCAAGCACTCCGTTCAGGAGACCAGTCGACCTCCAATAACAAACAATCTGATAAATGGTGATGAATCCAACCTCCCCAGAAATGGCTATGGGTCGAGCATCGACCCCGGCCGCAAGTTCTCAACAGGAAGCCTCAATCTCACCATGAAAGACATCGCCCATCATCCCACTCACCAACACTTCCCGCAGTCCAGACGCGGAAGTTGGGCGTGGGAAAGCTTGAGCGAGTACGTCGGAGGAGGGAAAAGCAGTCGTTCAAGCTCAGCCGCCTCCATCCCTCCGCGCGAAGACTGGGAACACTGGGCGGATAAGAACCTGACGAAGCAAGATCAACCGCTCGACAAAGACAAGATGACGGCCATCACCAGGAAGTACGGAGAGATCCATCAAATCACCGGACTGAGCGATCATGCCGTGATTCTGCAGTCACATAAAGTCCAGTACTGCCCGCCGCTTGATCGCTACTACGCCCTCAAGGTCTTCCGCTGCAGTCCCGGGCAAAGCAGGGACGACTATCAAGCCCGAGTGACCGCGGAGTTTGCCATCGTCTCCGAACTCTCCCACCAAAACATCGTCACGACTTTCGAACTCCTCCCCATCGGCGGCGGGAACCTAGCCGCTTGCATGGAGTACTGCGCCGGCGGCGACCTCCATTCCCTAATCACCGCATCGCAAAGACTACCCATGGAAGAAGCAGATTGCCTCTTCAAGCAGCTGATCCGCGGCGTCACATATCTCCACGAAAGCGGCGTTGCCCACCAGGCCCTGAAGCCCGAGAACCTCCTCCTGACACACAGGGGCTGTCTCAAGATCTCGGACTTCGGCAATGCGCAACGCTTCCGGCTGGATGGGGAGGGTGTTCACCACGTTCAGGCCTCGACTGGAACTGGACGACGCGACTCAGAGTCGGCGCCGTATCTCGCGCCGGAACGGTACCTCGACGGGACATCTGACTTTGTCCCTGGAGCCCTGGACATCTGGGCCGCGGCGATCGTCTACATCGCAATGAGGACAGGACGGAATCCATGGAGAGAAGCGACGGAGATGGACAAGACCTATAGGACTTACGCTGAAGAGCGCGACCTTGGGAAGAAGAGTGTCTTTATTCAGGATTTATCTCACGTATGTCGGGCTATACCCTACCCCCTCATAAATTCGCGCCCTTGCGCATTTGTGCTGCTGCTAACTGTACTATATAGGAACGGAGGCGCGAAGTCATATACGCCATGTTAAGCATAGACCCCGTGAAGCGTCCTAGCGCGGCTAAGATCCTTTCCTCCGAGTGGCTCCATGACGTTCACTGCTGTATTCCCGACCATTCCCAGAACGGGTCCAATGGCTCTACAGCGTAGATCTGGGCTTAGACGAATAGGACTTTGTTTTCTTTGTATTGTCTATAGCGTCAATCGTTTAGCCCCTATACCCTTTTTGGCTTTCTAAGTTTATATCATGTTTTGCGTTCTTCTTTTTGCTGATGCGCTGCGATATTTAAGCGGACATATTGCTTGAATCATGAAACGAAGTGTATACATGCTATGATATAAATATAAATCTATGCCGAATCCATTGCATCCACCCATCCGTCCGTGCATGCAGTCTATAGTCCATCGTGAAGAAATATGTACATGTCAAAATCAGAAAATAGAAGCATTCATCCGTCCGTTCCTTCCATCCGGGGAAGTAAGTAGGAAACATTCGTAAGCGGGCGATGATAATCGTCCAGATCGTAACAGGTATCAATCAATGTAGAGCCTGGCTTTTGAGTATAAAAGTCGTAAAGCTGGGTTGAGGAAGGCGTGAGGTTAGGTGAGGAGGAGAAAGAAAGGTCATTAGGCGTGAGAGGTAGAGGAAAGTGTAAAGGCGAGTGAGTTCAAGATGTTACATCGGCGCAAAAGCAACATCATGCATACTCTCCTCACTAACGGAGGTAGCCGGCGACGCGAGGCCCGAAATAACAGAGGACGTGCCGCCTGTACCACCACGCGAATCCAAATCCAGAATCGCCTCATCATGGGCCGCGCCCGTTCTGCTAGCGGTGAACGGCTTCGACGAGCTCGTCATCAGCTCATCGATCCCCGGCTTCGAGGGGACATGTTGATCAAGATCCGTTGCGTTATCGAGACTCTCAAGCGCAAACTCCAGGAATTCGGCGTCTTTCTTGCTGACGCTCAGTGTCCAGCGGTACTCGCAGAGGCGGAGGCGGTAGAACTCGGCCTCTTCCTTTGTGGGCGCTGTTACACGGAGAAGGATGCCAAAGGACCCGATGAGGGCGAAGTGGGTTCTTGACGCGGCGGGCCAGAAGGAACGCAGGTGAGGTGGGCGGAGGCGGTTTACGAAGTCCATGGCGGAAATGAGGCGGGTCTTTGCGGCGGAGCGGCAGATGTGCGAGAGGTAGGCATCTGTTGCGTCCGGGGAGAGGGAGCGCACGATGCAGCGGTGGAGGGTGATTTCGGTGGCGAAGTAGGAGAGGTGAAGAGCGCCGTTGCGGGCGTTTTCCTCAGTGATGGTTTCGAAGAGGTCAGTTGCTGAGTCGAGTTTAAGGGCTGCGGGGAGCCGCGCGAACCAGTCCTTTAGACGGATCTGGGCGGGTTTGGCGCGTTCGAGGATTAGGCGGGTTCGGTTGTTGCCGGCGGCTTTGAATTCTTGTATTGATTGGAGGGTGTAGAAGCGGTCTAGGATGTCGGATAGGATGGTAGTGAGTGCCACGAGGTGACAGAAGAAGAGGGGGCCATGGCCCACGGGTGCATCATCTGGCTGAGATGCGGTCGATGCGAATGCATCAGTGAAATCTTCTTCGACGAGATCTTGTACGGTCCAATTAGAGGAGACGACATGTGATGGGCGTCCGTGCACCATTGCGGACCATTTGTCCTGCATGTAAAGCGCCCAAGCAAGCCGCTTCCTCAAACCCTTTTCCCAGGTTTCCATTCGCCAGTCGGAACAATCTTGGTGAAGCCCAAGCTCGAATCCAGCGGTGACCAACTGTGCGTTCAAAGGGGCGGTGGCTATCGTTGACTTTTGCATAAGTAACAGTCCGGCCTGAATTGTCGAAATCGATGCATAGGGCAGAGAGTCGGTAAGGAGTTTCAATGCAATGGCTTCAAGGCGAGCGCCGTCGGGTCGCCTTGCGGATTGTGAAGCCGGCCCGATGTCGACAAACTTCAGGGCCAAAACGTAGACAGCAGACAGTAGGAGCGGAGAGATGCCATTGCGAGTCCTGTATGACTGACGGAAGACATCTTCCATGAGAATTGGAAAGGTCGGGTGGATGCATTCGAAGAACTTCTCTACCAAGGTGGACCCATAGGGAGCAACCAGGCTCTCAATAGAGTCCAAGGTGGCGGACTGCGGGGAGTCCGCATGGGACATGGTGTTGACGACGCGCATAAAAGTGCCGTCGTCGCCAAGCTTCCGTACGCGGGAGGCAGCTACAAAGCTCTCGTCGTTCTGGTCTACTGGGAGATATGCCAGCAGGGCGGGTTCCAGTTCAGTAGTGAGGCCGATGTGCTGGGTGGTCTGATGCCAGTATGAGATAGTGTTGAGGCGCGGGAGTTCGCTCAAGGGCGAACGAGCACTGTCAGCTTTGGAAACGGACGATAACCTGGCGGGGATAGCAAGATTAGCGCCCCAGCTCTATCTGATAAAGCATATTCCGAGATCGGCTTTCGAAAAGCAAATAAGATAACGGCCTTTACCTTTTAGGGGAGTCTGCATCACTGTTGATGATGATGTCGTCCAGTTTACGCTTCTTCGACGGCACCTCTGCTGTGCTTTGACGGCTGATGGTGGTGGTGGTTGAGACAGATGATGATAGGGTGAAGGTGCAGTCCTGGCGATGAAAGTCGCACGAGTAACACTTGTTGACCATTTCGTTCATAGCACACCGACTCTTTCTGCGCAGGCAGGCGTCACAGCTGGGTCCATCCCGGGCCTGTGCAGAGAGACGAGGAAGAGTGCCAATGGGGGCGGGCGAAGGGGATGGCTGCGGTGGTAGCGGCTGCTGCTGATGCGGCGGTTGCTGGTGGTTATTCTGCAGCAGGGGCCGGAGCAGATGACGGTCAGATGGAGAGGCCTGCTGGAGACCAGCCGTCGAGGACGACTGGAGGGTGATAACAGCAGCCATTCAGGAAGGCGCGATAGAGGGCAGGGCAGATCGAGAGGAGGGAAGAAGGAGAGGGAGATAGGGCGGATCTCGCTCTTGGGGGGATTGATAGGAACAGGACGGGCTGCGACCCGACGAGATTCCGTCACGTAAACAGTGAAGGGCGCGGGAATCCGCCAGGCAAACGGCAAACCCCAGAAGGGGGTCTATGGGGTTTGGGTTTGGAGCTTGTGGTCTGTGTTGACCGGGGAGATGAGATCGAACTGAAGGCAGACAGGGACCTCGCCAGCCAATGAGTTGACACCCTGACCAGATACGCCGTACAGTCGCGAGATCAGTCAAGGCACAAGCAGGCCTGCCACGTCGAAACCTGGCGGAGAAGCTTATCGGCAGAGGGCGAGTAGCAGTGAGGAGAATGATAATGATAATGATAACCAACGACGTAATGGTGGCATTCGAGTCGTCGAGATCTATGAGCGCAATCGGAGGCTCTTGATATCAAATAATATAGGCTATACCTCTACCACAGCCGGAGCCTACTGGCAAGCTGTCTGGAGCAGTCGGTAGTACAAAGGCAGGCAGGCAGGATGCTCCAGAAAGCAGATGTCAATTCCGTCTGGAAGGACAGTCTGATATGATATAACCACCCCGTCCATCCGGCACGAGAATAGAAGGTGAATAAGGCCCTGGCTGGCTGTATTTTCCACACGTAACAGAATTGCTCTGGGAGGCCATACCTGCGGTTCCTGCTTCTGCGCCCTCAAAGGCCAGAGATAAGGCGCCTTCGCCTGATTGGGTCGCCGAATTGCTCTGCTGCCGAAACGGGCTTGGTATTACGTACTGTTTTGCCCAAACTGCCACTCTCGTTACAAACACTGAAGTAATGCGCTCTGCTACAGCTTTTGTCTTGCACGCTATCATTCGCTTTGGCATTCTCTATCTCCAGGACTGTCCGGGACACAGCTTCTGCAGCGCTATCCTCGCGCTGCATGACTTCATGGCTGACCGGGGTCCTTAACTCCGAGACGCCTTGGTTTGCTGGAGCTGATTTTCATCTGGAACCACCCGACTGGGCGACTCCATTACCTAATTGTAAGAGTAGCGAATAGGCGCCCGCGATAACAGTGCAAGCCGTCCAATTAGCGTCTGTCCGTGTATTGAATCGGGCCTAGTGCCAAACCGGCAACGGGGATCGGCCCTGCAGGATTGCGGCTTATCCCCACACAATTCGCAGCCCCGGTTCTTGACTTCTTAGCTGTGGCTTTTAGCAGCAACGCGACTGGCCCGGAGCCCTGCGCAGCACTCCGGCCGCCTCGCCGCTGACCTTTGTCGCAAAGCTCGCTGGCTAAACTGCGGATGAAGCACCTTTCCATGACTAATTTATATAGGGAAAACTCGGAACCGGCTCTGGGGATGCAGTTTTCCGCTCGGGCTGCGTGAGTCAGGGCTGAGGGCGTCTTCCTCGGAGTATGGAGCTCCGCTTCGGGAAAAGTCTCTTGTTGCTTGGCGCTGGCTTTAATCTATACTATACGGAGACAACTCGGCCGATATTTTTGCATCTTGATGGATGTATGTTACACAGTCGATATCAGTATAGAGAGCTTCCAGTAAGCACAGTCTGTGGCCTGCATGCCCAGGGTATAGATAAGAATGAGCAAAGCTTCCGAAGATGCAAAAATTAGGCAAGTCGTTCTTTATTCTCGCAGGATCGCCAACCTTACATGCCTTTGAGGGGCTGATAGGATTCAAAATGCCTCAATCAATCGGGTGGCGCGATATGCATTGATTGTCAATACATTATGCAATGCAGGCGCTATGGATGGTAACCTAGTCCGTAAAGTTAAGGTTAGGAAATGTTCAAGCTTCTTAGGTTCATCCCATGCGAAAAAGCAACTAAGGTTATCGATATCGATATGAACCCCAGCCTCCTCCTAATGCACGGACCAGCCTGGCTAAAGTACCGCATGGAGTAGAACTCCGATCCCTGCCAATATACATAACTTCTTCTTTTTGAGACCTCAACATGTCATATCCCGACATCCATGAGCCCGCGAGCAAGGATCACCTGGTGAGAAAGGTGCTTATCATCGAGTCTCAGATACTGGGCATGCGAGTATATCTAGGCGAACGGCAAGCTATCTAGCTATCTTCGATTTTGCAGTCTCCAAATTACGGTCCAATCTCCAAAGTGTCAGCATGGTAGTATTCGGCCCATTCATATGCATAACTCCTAACTCCAGGCTACTATACTGAATCGAATGCACGGCCCAGGTCCTAAACTGACCAACGGCTAGTTTTGAAAAAGAAAAAAGAGAAGATAAGGCCAGACCAACTACTCGGTGAAGTTTCGCAGCTTCGTCAACTCATCCAACAGCTCCTGCAAATCACCATCAGAGATCTTGTTCTGCAGACTGGGGATAAGCGACTTCGCTTCCTCGGCGTTGTCGCAGCATAGACTTCCTGTTATCGCATCAGCTTACATCCCGCCACGTCGCACCAGGAAGACATCGAAACTCAAATCTGGGCGATTAAGGCAATGTGATAGCGTACCGAGCTGCGACCTCTCGAACATCTCCAACTCCGTATGCGAGTTCAACAGCCGCTCAACGGCCTTGATGTTCTCCTCATCCTTGAAGCGCGCAAAAAGCCCAAGGTATTCCAGGGTCTTTAAAAGGTTCCTACAGTCGCAAGGAGTACCGTTAGTTGCTGATTGCCATCTAACGCAGCTGATTGCAAGCTTTATCGCATCCGAATGAGGACCGGCGGCGCGACTCACTCAGGCTCCTCGTATTTCTTCCCCCCTCTTCGTTTGTTCTCAAGAACCTTGTCGATAACGAGACTGGCTTCTGATAACGATAGTGTATGCGTGTTTTGGTCCGCGCCGAGCTTGAGTGTTGAGGCGGCTTCGAGCTCGCCTTGCGGGAGGGCACGCTGGCGGTGGGTAGCCGGGGGTAGCTGGACGCCGCTCATGGTGTTCTCGTGTAAAAAGAGATAAGAGATGTCACTTGATCGCAAGAGCTGTTGTACTAGAGTTATTCGGTTGGGGACTTGGAGATTCGTCGGTCTTTGAGGTTGAATCTGGTGCGGAGGCGGGAAAACTCTCCAGACACACTCTGCATTCCTACGGCAAAGAAAGGCGGTAGAGCAGACACCGCTTTTCCACCCTAAGGCACCCAGGCAGAAATCCCCTGACGAAGGATTAACACCCCACCTATTTCAAGCAAATCTATTCTATACCGGAAGCCAAACCAACGCCACATGCTATGCAAAGCCAAGACTCTAATCATCCGCTGTAAAAACTAGGACCTCACTTCTTCCTGAATGCAACCTCCTTAGGAAGTCGGAAGCTGGCGCAGAACATCTGCTTGTTAGGGCTAACCAGTCTCACGTTGTGAATGGAAAGCTCCAGCTCCTGGTTTCCAGTTCCGCCAACCCGGTCCTCTACCGTGATGGGGTACTCCATTACCTCGGACATGCGCTTGCAGATATCAATATGGTCGTCGACTTCATTCTCTGAGTGACCCGAGAAACAGTACACGTGGACCATAGGCAGTTGTGCCTTGGTGTGTGGCGCAAAAAGTTCCTCACGGCCTGCGTAAACGCCGATGAATGCGTCCAAGAACTCAAGGGCGTTACCCGGAAGGTTCATCACATAATGGTCAACGAGCTTTGGACGGTGGTATACTTCTGCGGGAAGCTTGCTTTCTTTCGCTTTGCCGGGGGCGTTCCTTGACTGTTTACTCTTTGGCAAAATGGTCACCACCGGTGAGTCCCACCTCAAAAGTGCCCTCGCGGACCACTTTATAAAGTCCCTGCCGTCTTGGTTGAACGGCGTGACAAATCGATGGACCTTGTTCCTCTTCACGGCGTCCTGCATCACCTCGTAACCGTGCGGATTGAGGTCATTGGCAAAGACAAAGATCTTCTTCTTACCAGCGGGGATCGCGAACGGCCCAACGCCAGCCATGACATCGCAAACCATCTGCCCTGGCTTGAAAAGTTCTACAAGCCGTTGGTGCTCCGTGTGGAGACGACTGTTCCAGTATACGCGCGAGAAATCGAAACGGAACTCGCAGTCTTGCTCATGCTGAATGACATTCATATCCGCGTCACCGGCCAGGAGCTCGTAAGGGAACGTCCGGAATTCGCTGTGAGAGCCAACGTCCTCGGTCTTTCGGATCACGGTGCGAAGGGTGGAGTTCTTGTCCAGCAGGACCTCTGCAATAAGGCGTTTCCATGGAAGGTATTGTTCCCTAAGGTTCAGATGGGCTATTCGGTTAGTCCTGGAGCAAATGCAAAAGGTTCCTTCGCTTGACTTACCGATGTGTCCCACCTGCGTGAAGCCCTGCGGAACCTCCTCAAGCAGATCCTCCGGTAGAACCGCGCTGATAATGTCGGCTGTCAAAGTTAGCTTCCATTCCGCTGGTATAGCCTCAGGATTAACTCACAGTGAAGCCAATAGTCGTAGTCCAGCTCCAGGTTGAAAGGCCCAACACCAACAATCCCGTTGTTCACCAACTCGTTGATAGTCGGCGACCAAGTCGCAGTATCTGCAGCATGTCAACCATGCATTCTCCGTACATGTAGATCCACAGTCTATACCATCGTATTTGATTTCCTCCTTGAGCAGCAAGCACTTCTTGACGACATCATCCTTCTTGACGTCCTGGATCGTACTCAAGCGGGGTAGATTAAGTATATCCTTGCTCTTCTGCAGCGACGATCGCACCATCGAGATATCCGAGTTCTTGAATATCGTGGCGGCAGAAAGCGGTACGGTTTTCTTGAAGAACGATCGGTCCAGAACCCGCATTGCGCGGTTAACGGGGGGTCGATACATTTCAGAGAGGTAGCCGGGGCCCGCGCGCTGTGTGTTGTCAGTTGTTGTGGCCATTAAACGTTTATACGGTCGGTCAATGCTAGATGCGAGGTTCCGTTGATATCATGGGCTTCGTGGTCGGGTATCCGCAATATTGCTGTTGAGGGTTTTCTTGATGCCCAGAACAACTTATTTTGCCGATCTTATCTGGCACGTGATCGCGATCTATAGATTTGGCAGCGGACTACTCTGAGAAACCATTACAAAACCTATCTGCAGCTAACTAAACATACTCTGTGGGGAAGTACAGGCAGAGTATAGGAAACCATGCGCTATCTTACCAGGGTATCAAATTTATCAAAGCATCAATTACCTCCCCTCACCGTGCGTTCCAGCTCCAGCTGCGACTCCAGCATCGAAATCCTTTCATTCAGCCTCACGATCTGATCATCCTTGTCCTTCAGGGCAGCCCGTGATATGTCCCGGCCTCGAATTATCCCCTTCACTTTCATCTCATGCCGATTAAACAGCGCCCTCAACTCCTCCATTGCTCCAACCGGAACGTCAACCTCATGACCCTCTAGTATCCGTGAAACTTGCGCCGCTAGATCCGACGACGTCGCAAGCGGCGTCTCCGCAGCCCCAAGTCCTACTCCTGCATTCCTATACCGCGTCGGCGTAGGCGTGAGGAAAGGCGTCACATGAGCACCCGTTCCCATTCCACGCGCAGGCCCGCCCGGCGTAACTGTCCTATCGCTCTCCGCGTCATCGTCAACCGACCTCTTTCGCTTCCCCGGGCTAGTTGTTTTCTCCGTGCGCGGCGTCTTGCGCGATGGAAGCCCAAACTCCGGCTGTCGCAGAGGCTGGCTGCTTTCGAACACCTGGTCCATCTCATTCTGCAGTCCCTCGTCCCAGTCGAACTCATCTGTGTCTTCGGCCATCATGCGGGCTTTCGCGCTAGCGCCGGTGCTTGTCGGAGTATTGTTGAATCGTGAGCCTCCGTAGTTTCGCCCGCCTGTTTGCGGCGTTAGAAGGCCGCCCGTACTTTGCTGCGCGGAGGCAGTCTTCGACGAGGGAGTTTGCGGCGATGGACTTGGGTACGAGGATCCAGAAGCAGGCGCTTCGGTGCGGGAGTTCGACAGGAGGGCTAGCTTCTCGCGGGCCTCGGCGTCGCTAGTCCATAGGAAGAACTTGCATCGGTGTTGGTGGTCTTTCTGGCAGGTGTAGACTATTCAAGCGGCTTGTTAGCTTACAGCTTCACGGTAGGTAAGTAAAAACACGTCGCCGGCCTGTATGCAATGCGCCAAAAGTAAGAAAAGGCAGAGAGCCATACACCACCGCCCATGATTCACCCCATGATTCCTGGTCTGTAGCTTCACGGCTGGTGGCCGCTCGGGGCAGTTGCATCGCCATACGCCGTCTAGTAAAAGACCCCGCGTAGGAACGGCGGTGCGAGGGGAGGCCGTCCCTCCCCCGCCACCACGGGGTTTATGTGGGGATATCATCATTTCCAGAAATAGTTTAAGAAAACAGGATCATCTAGATATGAGGTGAAGATAGAGGGTATCTAGAACAAAGGACTGAACTTACGGTGGTGATGCGGACAATGGTTGATGTCGTAGGTCGTCGCTATGGTAACTATCAAGGCGGGCCGCGGTCGGAGGCTATCAATCCAGTATGGAGTTTAATAAAATGGATGGCACAACTTGGATTTTGAGAGCTTTATTAAAGTGAAGGAAATGTGATAATAGCTGACTGTGACTGTGACTGCTCTCGGGATATCCTGGCGGAATGATTAGCATATATCGTCCATGTCAACCAACTCCTCTCTAGTTATCCGCGCCAAGCATCACCACGTTGATAGCTTGAACCTAGATTCACAGAACCCCTACGAGTATGACCAGTGAGAAGAATGATTGAACGACTGCAGTGCTGAGATGAGCCCCCGTTGATTGTCTATCAAAATAACAATGCGATGCAACCTGATTATGTATGCCCTATTCTATTCTAGCCATGCAATGCAAATTCTCTACCAAGAGAGCCGAAACAACAAACTATGCAGCTTCAAGATGGATATGAGTAAATGCTGTGGGTATCGTAACGAACGAGAGTGACGATCTTAATCCGCCAGCACCTGGCGAAGCAAAACACCAAACGAGTCGGATAACTTGAGGATCTCATGAACTTCTGGTTTGACGGGCTCTCCGGCTGTACGGCGCAAGTGGTCCTGTTGCCGGGACCGCCGCTTCCGTTCAACGGCAATCGGGTCTACCTCTTCTGCCTCGTCTTCGGCTTCAAGATCATCAGAGGGCTCAGAATCATTGTCTGAGATAGCGAGATGCTCGAGATCCGCCTCATCTAAACCAAAGTCGCTCGATCTGAATTTGGTCTTGAATGGAGAACTAGCGGTCCCTTCAGCGGCCAGCTTTTGTCGTGTCTTGTTGAGGTGCCACTCCTTGCGGTCCTCATGCCATTTGATGAGCTTGTCAATCTCCTCGCGCGCGAGATCCTGATTGATCTGGCCCATATCCTTGGCGCCACTGAATAAAGCATTCATGTCAAGCTTGCCACCAGGTGGGCCGCTGCGGAGGAAGTGAAGAATGTCCTCAATCCATGCCATCAGGGACCCGAACAATCCATTGTCATGAAGGTGTACCTCGTGGACGAACTTGTAGAGACTGCTCTGGTGCCGTTCACAGAGATCAATAAAGGCTTGAACCGTCTGGTTGGGGTCCGCGGAGATGTCCTGTCTTTGATACTTCTCAATCACACTGATTGCGTCGTCGGCAAACTTGGCGAAGTCTGTGATACTGTTGTAGACATTCGCTGACTTGTATACTCGAACAAGTGGCTCATAGAAGATGGTGAAAAGATCGCGGAAGAGCTGAAGCGTGACCGGCTCTTCGATGATGCTGAGCATTTTCGCTTTATCTCCCTGTCGTGTATATAGTTTGAGCAACTGTTTCACATTGGCGAACCACCGTGCGCCCTCTCGCATCTCCTCGTCCACATGCTCTACGGCATGGTTCCAGGCAACATATGAATTAAAGACCTTGCCAATCTGCTCCGTCGTCAGCTCGTATGGGATATATTCCGACCGAAGAATAGCCACGGCAACGTCCACGTCATCCTCCGCAGCCTCAATGCGAATCTCATTCTTGACAGACTCATCTGCCTCGGTGAACGCTTTCAGCTTCTGAGAAATAATAGGATCGTCAACTTTGGCAGCCATGGCATCAATGGATCGCTGGAATCCCTTGATGCCGTCGTGTAACGTCATGGAGAATATCCGCTGCAGTAGAGACCGGGAGCCAAAAGGCTGGGCAAGGAAGAGGTCCAAGACCCCTGTCATTACAGCAGCAGGGTTGGCGATGCGGATCACATTCTTCAATAATGTATAAGGCACCAGGGAGTGAATCCGTTTGGCTTGTGCAAAAAGCTCTGCCGAATTGTCTTCAGCCAGGAAAAGGTGGTACAAAGTAGCAGCAACCCTGGCGAGTTAGCAATGACCATGTATTGGTAGGAGCGAATCACATACTCAATGCGCAGCCATTCGGCGAACTTCTGGTATTGAGGGCTCAAATCTTCGACGGTCGGTTTCTCTCGGATCTCGGCAAAGAGCTTCGTCAACCCATCTGACATTGCAATATTAGCATCAAAAAACTTCATTATCAATGTTCTCAAAGACTCACTGCTTTCTACAATGTCTCGACGAAATTTCTCCATATACACGTCCAGCTCCGCTGCGCGTTGACGTGCGATCTCGTAGAATCGCTTTTGCTCCTCTATCCTGATCGCATCTACTTCCTTCCGCTGTTCCATGTCCCGGGTCTCTTCTTGGCCAGGAACAAACGGTTCCGCAGTAAGAAATTCTTCCAGAGCCTTGGAATCGGCTATCCGCTTATGCTGCAACAATGTGCGAAGAAAAGCGCGCAGCGAAATTCGCTGCTCTTCTCGATAGAGCACAGCCTCCCTGGGAACCTCCGCAGATGATCTGGGAGACTTTCTCACTGAGCTCCTTGATCTTGATCGTGTGCGTTGAATAATGTCCGAGGGAGCCAGACTATTGCGAGATAAGCGCGCGTCCTCTGGAGTTCCCATCTCCTGAGTCGAGACGGATGAAAGGGAAGACTCATCATCCTCCACACTGCTACCACCCCAGAGGGATGAGCTTGTTGATGATTTATTTTTGCGTGGAAGAGGCGGCACCGCCCTTCCTGGTACTTCGGTCTGCAACCTCTTTTGCAGCTTGACGAACTCGCCAAACCGTCGAGCGACATAAATATCTGGCTGACCGTTTCGTCTTACGCGGATGATGAATTCCTGTCCATGGTTAGTACGACGTGACAGCCAATGCATGCTCAACATACCGCATGTTTATGGTGTCGGACCGTCCGCCGCACGGATGTTACCCGTACGCCAGCAACATTGATGTCCCAGCCGTGGATCGCATTCCCTTCCGGCATGTTTACAAGAAGCCCCTTTTCGTTGGCACCACGGTCAACTACCTCCATCTCTGAGAACTGGATACGCTCTTCATAACCCGATGCGGTAGGGATGCCGGAAACCATCATCAGTTCAACGAGTTTCTCGCATTTACGTGCCAACTTTCTCCGCTTTGTTTCTTCCAGCCGGTCCTCGGAGGACGACACATTTTTATTCGCGAATGATTCAAGAAACTACAATAATATTGTCAGCTCTGCACTTCTTTCTGGGGGTATAGAAACGCGGTATACGCACCACTTGCAGCTTGTCCTGCCAGAATTCTTTCTCGCGAGCCTGGTCTAAGAACGGAAAATTCCGAACATGGTGAACGAAGATGTATCGAAGGATGGGGAGTTCAGAATCGATGGGCGCTACCTCTCCGAATTCCGACTTGAAGGGGGCACCGAAGCGACGAAGGGCGGTTGGGGAGTTTAGTTCGGAGATTTCGTTTTGAACCTGGCGGGCGATGAGTTCGCGCTTAAGGTCTACTGCGGTCAGTAAACCTCGGCGATAATATGGGTATTGGGAAACGGACAATGTTCTTGCTTCCCTGTGAGGATTGGTTTATAGTCGCCATCTTGTTGAGGAGTAGCCGATTCAACGACTCCGTTGCTCGCGTGCATGGTGCGCAATTATTTGGTCTGGTGAAGTCGGGAGGAAGAGAGCCCCCGACTGCGGGGGGCTTGGGTTGTTTATAAAGTAAGCTGACCGAAGCAGAACCCCAAAGCCCGATAGAGGGGTCGAAGTGGATTAAGCAACGGCGCGTAATTATTGAGGCTAAGCACAGGTCGTACTCGTTTGCGTCTGGGTCAAGCCGAACGATGGGAATCCGTCTGCCTGCTTAGCGTGCGCGCTGCGATGACGTCTGTCGTCGGGCAGATCTCGGCTGTTTCAGGCGCTCTGTATAAGCGGGCTTTGACTTCCAATATTAATTCAAGAAATGATAGAGATACAGAGGCATAAAGTGGAAGAAACGAAGGTGAGCATTGCAGCGTGGCCAGGGGAGAGGAAGAGAGAAAGGGCAAAAGGAGATGACGAACAAACCGCAGCCAAAAAACGGGGCTGGCGTCACTCAACTTCCTGTTCCCCATATATCAACCTTTACTCAACTAATAGCGTCCACCAACCAAGCTCCATCATACTATTATTATCCTCATCATGATGACTTTGACACTTTGTCCAGCAACTGAATCATTTCTCACGCATCTCTCAGCCCTGTGGCCCCGCTGAGGTGACAGAAGGATCGACAAGACATCAGCTACGCATTTACCCTGTTCATCCTGGCCAATTCCCACTCAGATAGGTAATCAATCATGCTGATATCACTCCGCGCCTCAGTTTAGCACACTTTCGATATGAATAGGCATCCAGATTCCAGAACTGGACGTGAATCGTGACAAACTCGGATCTACTTCGGAATATCACAGCTGAGCTCATGATTATTTGGGTCTTACGGGGCGCTGGCTAACCCTGCAGATTGCCAATTGCTCTACAAGGCACGCTCTACGTTGAAAACCTGATCCTTTGGTATGTGCGCGGGAACACATGCAAACACAGCATGATTCGACCATGGCAGAAGTCAGGCACACTCTTTCAACTTTTGACATCTGAGAATGTGGGTCACACTCGACATGCACCGCCACCTATCATGGAGATCGGTCTGGAGTCTGGACTCAAAAGACTGTCTTGACGATGCTTTGGAGTCGAATGAAGCAACAATATTGTTGACAGCGCAGCAAACGCTAAATCACGATGCGGTTAGAAGTTGCCTATTTGCTTATCCCACGGTGCTCAATGTGGCTATGTTGGAGGTACTACTTTAACGAGGAAGCTTCGTGAGATATCGCATTGTGACCAATGTGGCTGGCACTATAAAATATGTATCAATTAGCACCAAGTTGATAGTGACATTGAGCCCTTAGGAGCATGTCTAGCGCTCCAAGATAGCCCTGCAGACCCTGTATAGCATCCTCGGAGGAGAATAATACTAATCGTAAAGGAAACCAAGCTATTCCTAGAAAGGCATCAATAGTGAATGTGGCTGAGGCTATTGTCTCCGCCCAGTCTCAGCTTCTCCGCCTCCGCATCCATTGTTTCTTCCGCCCACGTTCTGTCCTTTCGCTCCTGTCGATTCATAATTGAGATGTTATAGTTCAGTTGAGCTCTTTACCTATCGCAGTCGGTTTCTCGGTGAGCGCGTTTTGCGCTTCTGCTCTATCCTTCCCTCGACGAGCTCCGTCCTTCGACCTACGTCGTTCATTGATGTCAGATCTCTCAGATCTCCGGCCTGCTTTTGCTCCGAATACCTTTCCCGAGTTCATTTACAATAAAGAGATATAATGAGGCAGTCTGAAGATTGCGAGGAGTCTCAATTACTTCCGGCGTCTCGCTCTCGTTCCTTGTCCAGGAGCTCCGATGACTCCGATGACTCCGGATTGTCCGTCGATTCCGTCCTCGAAGAACAGAAGTACATACCCGCATCGGTCGATACACATGTGGATACGCAAGGAGTGAGATATCGTGATGAGGAGGGCGGAGAGGCCGGGCTCAATGAAGCCATCCTTCAGACGAAGGCTTCTAGTAGCCGACCGCGTCGACTTATCTGGTTGCTGATTCTACTTTGCTGTGGAGGCTGGTTAGTAGCGCTTGTGCTGTTTATAACTCAAGGGCGACCGGATTATCGGACTGCGGTAGACGAGCAGCTAGCCAATTCTGGCTCTGTCTCGGGCGGTACAGGTTCGGCGAAGTCCCTCACTTTGGACGATGTGCTTACAGGGACATTCTCGCCTCGAGGCCATTCAATTGCATGGATTGCTGGGCCTGATGGCGAGGATGGGCTTCTGATGGAAAGTGGGGAGAACGGAGGAGAGGGTTACCTTCGTATCAAGGATATCCGTCAGGAAGCAAAACCGAACCGGGTACTGATGCAGAACTCTACTGTGGACGTTGAAGGGAGGATAATCAAACCCAGTGCCATGCGGCCTAGCCCTGATTTGAAGAAAGTGCTGATAATCTCCCATCGCGAGAAGAATTGGAGACACTCCTATACCGCGAGGTATTGGATTTTTGACGTGGAAACTCAAACCGCTGAACCCTTGGACCATGACAATATCGATGGACGAGTTCAGCTCGCTCATTGGTCTCCCAAGTCAGATGCGATTGCATTTGTTCGAGACAACAACTTATACCTGCGGAAGCTTTCTTCAAAGCGTGTTGTTCCTATTACCAAGGACGGCGGCGAACAGCTATTTTACGGTGTGCCCGACTGGGTATATGAAGAAGAAGTCTTTTCAGGGAACAGTGTCACCTGGTGGTCTGATGATGGATCTCAGATTGCTTTCATGCGGACGAACGAGTCGGCCGTGCCAGAATTCCCGGTTCAATACTACCTCTCTCGACCGTCAGGAAAGGCGCCACCTCCGGGATTAGAGAACTATCCGGAGGTGAGAGAAATCAAGTATCCGAAGGCTGGCTCGCCCAATCCGTTTGTTAACTTGCAATTCTACGATGTCGAACGGGGTGAAGTGTTTTCGATGCCTGACGATTGGGACGATGAGGACAGGCTTATAATCGAGGTGAAATGGGCTACTAAGGGCAAGATTCTTGTCCGAACAACCAACAGAGAAAGCGACATCTTAAAAGTGTTCTTGATTGACACGTCATTGAAAGAAAGCAAGCTTATCAGGATCCAAGATGTCGCCGAGCTTGACGGTGGATGGGTAGAAGCTACTCAGTCTGTAAGATTCATCCCAGCCGACCCAGATAACGGCCGACCATATGATGGTTATATCGACACCGTGCCCCATGAGGGATACGATCACTTGGCGTACTTTACTCCGCTTGATAATCCAGAGCCTATCATTCTTACCTCTGGCGAATGGGAAGTCGTGGACGCGCCTACTGCTATAGACCTGACTCGCGGTCTGGTGTATTTCATCGCTACCAAAGAGGCTCCAACTCAACGCCACCTGTACCGTGTCAAGCTCGACGGATCTGACCTCCAGCCGCTGACTGACACTTCCAAACCCGGCTATTACGATGTCTCAATGTCAGAAGGAACCGGATACGGATTGCTCAGTTACAAAGGTCCTTCCATCCCGTGGCAGTCTATCATCAGTACCGAGGGTGACAAGACCACAACACTCAAAACTATCGAAGACAACACAGCTCTATCAAAATTGGTGGCTCAATATGCTCTACCAACAGAGATTTACCAAACCATCACAATTGACGGCTTCACCCTCCAGGTTGTTGAGCGACGCCCACCAAACTTCAACCCAGCGCGAAGGTACCCCGTTCTCTTCCATTTATACGGTGGCCCAGGGTCTCAAACAGTCGACCGCAAATTCACCGTGGACTTCCAGTCCTACGTCGCCGCAGCCCTAGGCTACATCGTCGTCACCGTCGACGGACGAGGAACCGGCTTCATCGGACGCAAAGCACGCTGCATCATCCGCGACAACATCGGGCACTACGAAGCCGTCGACCAAATTGCGACCGCCAAAGAGTGGGCTCAGAAACCGTACGTCGACGAGTCCCGAATGGCGATCTGGGGCTGGAGCTACGGCGGCTTCATGACGCTGAAGACCCTCGAACAAGACGCCGGCCAGACCTTCCAGTACGGCATGGCCGTTGCCCCTGTTACTGACTGGCGGTTCTACGGTAGGACAGACAAAGCCCTATCCAACGTCACGTCATCCTACATTCAACTAATCAAACCCTCCCAGACTCCGTCTACACAGAGCGCTACATGCACACCCCACAACGCAACCAAGAAGGCTACCACAACAGCAGCATAACAGACATGGTGGCCCTCCAAGACACCGTCCGCTTCCTCGTCATCCACGGCGCCTCCGACGACAACGTGCATGTTCAAAACACTCTCACCCTCATCGATAAGCTGGACCTCGCGAGCGTCCAGAACTACGACGTCCACTTCTACCCGGACTCCGACCACAGCATCTTCTTCCATAATGCGCATAAGATGGTTTATGAACGTATGTTGTCGACGATTCCCCCATACTGCAATTTGAGCTGGTGAGCAGAGCTAATAATTGATTGAAAACAGGCCTCGCGAGCTGGCTCGTCAACGCGTTCAACGGCGAGTGGCACCGAATCGCGGACCCCGTGCCTGACGAGACGATGTTCAGTCGGTTTGCGAAGAGGGTTCTGCCCGCTTTTGCGCATTGAGTTCTTGCTTTGTCGTAGCGAATATATATGTGCGAGATATGTGGGTATAACAAGGGTATCGATCTGGTTTCGGCTCCTATAGTCCTTCTACCTTGGACAAAGGCGTTTGGTGTTTTGTACGCTTAGTCTTTTGTGGATTGAAGTCTACTCGACAATATATACAACATCAAACCGTGTCTGTTGGGAATCCCGGAGACATGGTGAGTTAGTTAAAATTCCGTAAGGGGTTTTAATAAAGTCCTTGGAACGATGTCTATTATGGCTTGCTGGACGATCTCCCTATTCTTTGTGTCGCTGCTTCGGCAACGAAATCTAGTCGAAATTTTGCAGGGGTGGTTTACTTACGAGCATGACTACGGTGGGCTTACGGATGTTTCTACATACTTGAGAACATTGACTACACGGAGCAACAAATTCGGTGGGGTATCTGCAATTAGAATATATTGTTTGTGCAATGGAAGAACCATTCTATACAAAGGTTGACCGAGCCTGAGTAGACCAGTCCAAGATAAATATGTAGGTAGGATAGACAGTGACAAAAATAGACATGAGAGATACGAAATATATGCAAGTGACAGGAGGAATATACTAGACAGAGAAAGAGAAAAATAGACAAGCGAAAGATGGAGAAAGACACTCCACGCAACCACCAAGAAGCGCTTTTCGACTAGCTACCCGAGTAAGGTAGACTAGGCGGCCTCTTCAAATCTGATGTGATTATTGCCGCCGCCCTCAATGCCGCGGTAGACACTCGACTGGAAGAACTCCTCTCTCATGATGGTGCTAACGTCGGAATTGCGATACTGCTGCAGATCCTCCCTTTGTAGACCACGGAGCTGTTCGCGTCCACCCGTAGAGAGACTGCCAGAGCGTGATCGTGAATGCCGGGGGCGCGTGAAAAGCGGAGACTTGCGTCCGCCCGGAGAAAGCGGGCGTTGGATGACGCCCCCGGCGCCGTGGGCGCTGGGAGCGGGAGAGAGGTGCAGCGAGTGTCGGGGTGCGAAGACGGGGAGGGGAGAGTTGGGGAGGGGCAGGAAGCCGGAGGAGGCGTCTGTTGTTGACGCGTTGGAGAAGGCGGAGTATAGGGAGGACGGACGGTTGAGGAGGTTTGTGGTCGCGGAGGCAGGAGCGTAGTAGCTTGAGCGGGTGGGTTGTTGGTTGTGACCGACGTGGGAGAAAGGAGCAGTAGAGCTGGTGTAGCTCGTGTACAGGGTTGACATACCAGAGGCCGCGGAGGAACGCCAGGAGTGGACGGCGGAGCGGGGGATTGTGATGACTTCCTCTTCGATGGGGAGGGTTTGCTGGATGGCTGTTGCGATATCTGCAGGCTCGTGGAGGCCTGGGACGCGGGAGGCCATCATCTTCGCGGACTTGCCGATCCAGAGCATCTGCTCGTGCTCGCGGAGGTAGCGATCGCCACTGAAGGACTTCTGCACGATCTTGCGAGTCATCATGCCCAGTTTGCGGCGGTGGTCCGACTTGTCGTACATGCGCTGAGTGATCTTTGCGACGTCTTCCGGTGTTGGCGACGATGGAAGAATGGGGGCTGGCTCGGTATCGTCGGCGTACTTAGACCACTCGCCGAGCATGGCAAGCATGGAGATCTGAGCCCTGGCGAGCGCGACGGCGTCATTGGGGGCGACGACAGCGCTGAAGCGGGAGAAGTCATCTGGGTCGCTGAGAACGCGGAGCGAGGCGCCGACGTCGGTACAGACCACTGGCGCTCCAGTCAAGGCTGCCTCACCGAGCGCGAGAGGGAGACCTTCAGACAAGGAGGAGTTGAGGAAGAGCCAGGTGCTCTCGAGGACCTTCATGGGGTCAGCTGTGCCGCGGAGAGTCACTCGTCCTCGAAGACCCTTGGAGGCAATGATTTCCTGGCACTCGGTAGAGTAGGTAGGGGCCTTGTCGATCGCGCCGTAGATATCGAGGTGGTAATCGTCGAACTTCCACTGGTTGATGATGATGTCCGCGGCGAGGAGAGCGGTCTTGATGTCCTTGGCGTACCAGACGTGCGAAAGCATGGTCACTGTAGGCCGCTCGGTCTTGATCTCCTTGACTGGGGCGAACTTTTGCATGTCAGTGATACCGTTGACGACGGGGTCGACCTTGCGACGGAAGACATTGCGGTGCTCAATTGCTCCCTGGCACGTTCCGATCTCAACTTCCCAGCCCGGGTTGAAGAAATCGGCACACGGCGAGATAATATCCGCATGGTACAGAGTGAGAGCGGACGTGACTCGCATCAGACCAAGCAACGCATTTCGAACAAAGGGAGAAAGCTTGCAAAGAGCTGAGGACAGGCAGAGGTTCGTCTCACGCCAGGCAATCGCGTGATCCCAGATCTGGAGCGTACAGTTCCTCTTGATCTTGCATACGACACCATAAGAAGCACTCACACTGTGATGAGACGCCTGGAACACACTGGGAATCTTATCGGGGATGGGAATCGAGAAGATGAACAAGTAGCGGTACCAGAGCTCCAGAGCAACGTCAAGAGTCCCCAGCGTGGGCAAGTCAGTGCTGAACCATTCCGAGGACGGCACAGTGTTAGGCATCTCCTGGGTAAGCCACAGATCCCGCCAGCTTTCCTTGACAATCTCGCTGTTCCAGATCTGTGTCCAATGGCGCGAGTCCTGGAAGAACGTGTTCAGATTGACCAAGGCCCTAGTAGCCTGGCGGATATCAGCCTTGGACAGATCCACAGCACGGGCTCCCTTGACGAGGGCTGTCAGAATGGGAATAAAGTTCATCTTAATGTCCATGTCATTTGCCGATGTGACACTCTCCACCTCAGAGTCCAGTTTGTTCCTGAAGAGACCGTGTGTGGGTGTAAGGAAGTCCATTCCCCAGAGCGGAATCACCTTGAGAGAGAGAATGTTCTGCTCAGTCTGGTGCTTCGGCACACCAAAATCGTTCGCTGACTCGCAAATCATATGCCACTTGATTGTTCGCAGAGAATTGATCATGTCTCGCCGACAAGCAGACACACCACCTCCCTCGTTTGGCCAAGTACCGTTATCCGCAGCCATGACGTGAAGAGACTTCTCCGTGTCCGAGCCAAAGTCATTAGACCTCGTGTTGACAACAGCGTCACCACCAGGGCCAAAGTTGAAGAGATCGCTAACTTTGACGGCCAATGGTGTCCAGCTGGAAATGCCATCATCAAGATCCGCACTCGCCGCAATGGTATCAGCCCGTAGCTCGAGGTACTTCTTTGCCGAAGCAAGATCACCCCAGTCACGGCTGCGCCAGTATGGGGAGAGTGTCCTGTCCCTTCGAAGTAAACGCTCATCCATCCAGCGCACAGTGATTCCGTCAAAGTCAGTTTTATCTTTCCAGGCCTTCCAGATGAGCGAACGAGCCCGTGAGGTCGAGACGGGGAAGCGCTTCCTTGTCAGCCGGAGCATGCGGGTGAAGATGTTGGAGCTTAGACTGTCGCAGTAGAAGAGAGGGTTGTCATGAACAAAGCTAGTGAACCTGGGTTTTGCGAGAACTTCGAGGTAATCGTGCTCAATCATCGGCGGTGTCTGGATCTTCTGCCCATTGAGTGTAGTGAAGATCGTTGGGTGGAACTTGTGGTCATATAGCCAGCGCGCCTCATAGACATCAGGACCCTGGACAAAGGTCGCCTCGGTAACCTTTGCATGAGGAATCCATCGGTCAACCTTCTCGGGGTGGCGGAGCGGCGGAGCACACCAAGAGACTGTGCAGGTAATATGGGACAAGGCAAACTCAGCCCGGAGAAGTTCGTCACCAAATCGAGGGTTCTTGCGGTAGTGGTACTTGAAGCGAATAAGATTGCCATCCTTCATGTAAGAACCAGCCTCGATAAGTCCTTTGCGGTTGTACTGTACGCTCTGGAGATGGTTCGTTCCGCGCACGCATCGTCGGCCCATCGGGACCTTGGACTCGGTCAACTTCAGCGTCAGACCCTTCTTCGTAGGGGCCCGGTAATCGTAGTGATATTCGTTGACAATGTTCCCACCCTTGTATTCTTGACGGATCAGAAGCAGAAGGTCCTTCGAGTAAGTGCTAACGCAGCTAAGGCTCTTCGTCCCTTCGGGTTCTGTCTTGGGAGTTCCAGCGTAGTAGAGCACCTTGAACCCTCCGTCAGGCTGGTTTTGCCGGAAAGCAGTGAAAGTCCCGTCAAGACTCTGGACAATGTACCTGCTCTTCTTGATGTTGACTGTCATGCCCTTGGTCTCATCCCAGAGCTGCTTGACATCGTCGCGGCCATAGAAGAGGAAGAAGGTCAGGCCCAAGTCTTGCATCACTTTGGCATACTTCCACAACATGCTCAACGCAAGAGTAGCAGGCACCCGGATAATGGCAGGATAGCGGCTCATGACATGGTTGTACTCTCGCTGGAATTCGGGATCGGCAACCAGAGCGATAACGATGAACTTCAAAGCGGCAGCCAACGTGTAGTACACTGAGAACAAGGGCTTCAAGATAAAGTACGCAATCGTGGGAAGCTGCTTAGGCAGGTATGGGATGTATTCCGGGGTCTCAGACTCCTTGTAAGCGGCCGATTCACCGGTTCCGTAGTTGGCATAATCCAGGATACTAACGGCCGCTGCAGCTGCAACGTTACTGCGCGCGATGTGAACCGACAGGTCTTTGATGTCAAACTGGCAGACGCTGTCCTCGAGCCACTGGTAGTGCTTTTCAGACAGCTCACACGGCTGCCCAAGACAACGGTCGAGAAGTGCCTGTCTCACAGCCTTGGGCAGCTTCTCCCAGTGGAAGTCGGATTCGAAACCCAGACACAATTGGCGCAAAAGCTCCTTTTTAGCCCAACGTACAACAAGAGGAGTGTCGGCTTCATCGCGCAGCTGTCGGGCAGTAATTTCGGTCACACCAGCAGCAACAAGCGACTCGGCGAGCACCGCATGTTCGTGGGGAATTTGCATGATGGATTCGGCAACAGCGTGGAGGAGGGTCTCAGCGATAACTTGGCAGTTGCCGGTGACGTCTATCCGCTGGTCCAGTCCTCTTCCCACAGCAACAGCAACCTTCAAGTGGTCTGAGCTGCTACAGCTCAGCGCGTGAATACCAGGCCCAAGCGAGCCGAGAGGAACAAGCTCGATCGTAACCCCACCAGCCTCCCAAGCCTTCAGTGCGGTGTTGACAATCTCCTGAGAGTGCGGGAACGCTTCTTCAATTCTAGCCTCTCTTCTCCGTGTGAGAAGCATTTGCTTCACTTCCGATCCAGGGTGGCTAGAGGGTACAAGTTTGAGGCGGACGTCGGTAGGGACAAGAGAAATGCTCTCGTAGAAGGTTTGCAGCTCCTGTTGACTCCAGTCAGGATCTTCCCAAGGCGCAGTGTATGCGTGGAAGGTCCTGCCCAGCTCGACCGGCGAGTCGACCCGCTTGGGCATGCCCATTTTAGCCGGGATGAGGGAGAGGAATGCAACCGTCCAGGTGGCGGCTCCCAAGCCGATGACTTGCGAGTACATGAAGTTGGGCAGGGAGACCTTGAGCGCAATACCAACGGGTAGACCGATGAGCGACCCGATCAGCAATGGCTTCAGCGCGTGAGGGCCAGTAAAGATCTTCGTGTACTGGTACCAGAGCAGACCGGTGTACGCCCCAACATACGCCAGGAACATGATCATTGCTTCCATGTGCGACTGGAACGTCCAGACAAGGGCCGTCGAGAAGGCAAGACCCCATGAGTGCCACAGGAGGAACTTGCCCAGGGTCTTCCAGTAGATCTTTCTCTTAAACCTGACGTCGCGCTTTTGTGAGTTCCGGATGTCTTTGGCGGTCTTAAGGGCAACCGGGGTATGACTGCCGACGAGGGTGTGGAGCTCTTGAGCTTTGGTGTCGATCAATACAGCGCCAATCAGGTAGTATGCCAGAGAGAAACCAACAGCCATTCGATTGGCAGTTGTCAAAGAGGCCGACAGACCGACCAGATGACCACCGCTGAGAAGTTCCACCCACTTGTCCAAGAGAGCAACAATGAAGTAGAGCATTCCACAGCCGATCTCCCTACTGGACTGGCGCCAATGGATAAAGGCGTTGTGCAGGCGAATTCCCCTCTGAGCGGCCTTGAGCGACTCAAGTGCGACCTTTGTCTGTGTGTTCCACCCAGAGCTGAATGGAATCGGTCTGGGAACATCGGCGTATCTGCAGTACCAGTCGAGAAGGAAATTTGTGGCTTCCCAATCGCGCGCAAGTTCGAGCACAAGGGTGCTTTTGGTCGTAGGTCTGCTGAAAAACCAGCGGTTCCGCTCGGTAGATACATCTTGCAGGAGCGCCTCACGCGACAGCTTCAGCACGGCGGGGTCACTGAGGGTACCGAATACCTTCTCGTCTCCATTGCCGTGCGTCTCAATGTACCACTTGCGAATCTCTGTGTCATCCGTTCTCCTCAACTTCTGGTACCAAGTGACCCATTTCGAAGCGACACTTCGTAGACCCAGAACAAGAGCGCCAATGAATACATAAATGACCGCAATGTAGATCGCAGAATCATGACCTGCAAAGGTAGTCACGATTGGCGAGATGAACAGGATCGGAATGCACGCGAAAATGACCTTGCGTCCGGAGAGGAAAGTAGACCCGGGGTAACTGAAGCTTGCAAGACAGGCAAAGCCTGAGAAGTAGGTAGTTAGAGCAATCAGATAGAGGTAGAACACAATGCCCGCTCGTGGGCCGTTCGCGCCAGACACCGCTACAAATCCAATGAGACCACCGGCGACTGTGAATGCGAGACCGGCAATAAACCTGATGAAAACGAACATGTTTGTCGCAGCAAAAGCCATGGAGATCAGGTAATACGGGCCACCACAGGCAATCCATGTACCGATGCCTCCGGACAGCAGCAGCGAAATCATCAAGGCGGTGGTAGCACTGTTTTGTTCTTCAAACGTCATGAAGGCGGAAAGATACAATCCACGTCCAATAAGGGTAAGAAGGACAATATCGATCAAAGCAGGGACAGCAAAGACACTGAGGAAGGTGAATCGCTGGTATCCGCGCATCGGCTTGACTTTGTCATCGGGATTGACATCAATCTGCGCACCGGCATACGATGTAGCCATTTCTGGAGCACCGTTGATCCAGTCCGGAAGATCCTCATCCTTGTAATACTTGCGGAAGCGATCTGACAGTAGCTTTCCGAAAGCGCTGGGTGAGATGTCAAAGTAGGACTCGCAGCGCGATCCAAGAGCAAAGGACTCAGCGAAAGCAGCGGCTTGGTCAGAATGGGCGTTGAAAAGCGGGTTCCGGTCGGTAACTTCCTGATAGATCTCGTCGATGGCTCCTTTCCTCGCGGTGCAGAACAGCGCAAGGGCCATGATGTCAACATAGGCGTCCAATTGTCCTCCTTCCATCAACTGGCACAGACCTCGCGTGATTTGAGCAAGATCGGCTTCGCGGCGCTCCTGGAGGATCCGCGGGAAAATAGCCTCGACCTCGCGGAAAAGCGCCAGGCATGTGGAGGGCGAAGGGTAGCTGCATCCTTGTTCGCGGTACCACTTGACGCGCGAGTCCACCAATGTCTCAGCAGAAGCCGACCCTTCGAGGTAAGCGACCGTGTTGACCTGCTTGAGCTGTACAAGAGACGTCCCTTCGATGAGCTGCTGTTGAAGATAAGCGCAGATAGACTTGGTTATGTCACTCGCGGCATCCGTCAAAGACAGGTGTTGCAGGAGCAATAGTCGTTCCTCGGGACTCAACGCTTCGATATCTTGCACCAGTCGGCGAGGCAATCCAACTTCCTCAACGATGTCCTTTGAAAACTTGGCCAACGCAGTTTCGACTCCGAAGCAGACATGTCGAGGGCAGCCTTTCGCGGACAGGTAAGTGTGCAAAACAGTGCCAGCGAGACCCTGCACATTCTTCGAAATGAACACATCTGTTCCTTCCGAGTCCATGTGGTACACACCCCAGAAACGTACATCGGTGTTCTTGCGGAAACCAGAATCCAACCCAAGGTAGACGCGAAGCTGTTCAGTGGAAACGAGGTTGGAGAGCTCCTTGATGTGGCCAACAAGCGGGTCTGAAGCACCCCAGTTCGATAGCGCAAAGCCGTCGTGGAACTGGCGCAAAAGTGCACCCAGACTCTGCATTTTTGAGAGAGGGACCGGATGAAGTAGAGCGAGCGACTTGAGCCGCTGCTGGGATTTGAGGATCTCAGCAAAGGCACTCGCAGTGGCTTCAGCGCCCAACGGGAAACAACCAAATGCCTTGTATTCTACTCCGCCAATAGAAGTGGAGAGGGGGTTTGTTTGGGACTTGGCTAGGGAAACCCAGTCAGGAGGGTCACGGATCACCGTTGTTAAATCGCTTTGGGTACCATCATCGCGTTCTGACGATGCGATGAGATCCCTCAGCGCTGGGAAGAATGGCAGTAACTCATCCCATCCGCTGCTGACGATACCACTGACGTCTTCCATGGTTGAATTCGACCGCCAGCGATCGTGAGCGCTCATAATCTCTGGCTCTTTCAGCCAGCCAAAGGAAGAGAGAGGCTCCGGTAGCTTCGTGTTGAGACTGACGTCCTCCAGGGCGGCCCTGCGGCCTATCCAAGGAATTGCGCTGTAGAAATTGCACCATTGCAGTGACCGACGAACCACTGCGTTGGACAAAGCTGCGTCGTCGTCGATTGTTTCCCAGGCCACCACGGTAAAGTCCCTCATGCACGCCTCTGACACGAAAGCCTTGATCGTTGATTTCATGCTTTGCAGCTGGAAGTAATCGCGCTTCTGGCCATTAGGAAGAATACTGGCGTTCCTGACCACCAAACCAGCGATAGCCTGGTTCTGCAACACATTGCGGTCTGGAAGGAAGTCCGGGGGCGCGGTTTCCAGAAAGATCGACAAGCCCAGCTTGTGGATAGCCTGGAGCGTGCTGGCCCAGCACTCGGAATTCAGTTTCCCTTCCCAGTTGGCGAGCAAAATGCCGTTGAAATTAGAACCCGGGAAGACATCATTCAGAGCATTGTCAATTTTGTCGATAACCGCCAAAGTCGTATCCTCCTTGGAAGCCGCATCCTGAAGGTCGAGTCGGCCCAGAATCTGCTTGCCAGCAGCAGTTGCGACAGCTTCAATTACCCCGGACTGATAAGGATCCACAATCAACATGTCCCATTCATCGAGGAAGCGACGTTGATAGTCGTTCAAATGCTCGTCAAGACGTCCCAGGTAGACGCCGGCAGACGAAGGCTTTTGGCCAGTTGAGCGAGTATTGGCCAAGTTCAGATGCCTGTTCGACAGGCCATTGATCCTTGCGGATATCTGGGCGGACACCTTTTCGGGGCGTCGCCTGGACTATACAACTGTCAGCGCGTCCATGCATGTCCATGTCAGGAGCTCAAATACCTCGAAATAAATTATGCTTCGTAAAATTGTAGAATATACAAGGTATACTGTTCCAACTGTAACGCTGCCCAGTAGAATACCAATCAAAACCTGGGATGGTTAGCAAAAGCAAAAAGGTGCATGGGTACCATGTTCACGCACAAACTGCCACCAGTGATTTCTCATATGATCCCACCCCACGGGCGAGACAGAGAGAATCTCAGTCATCCTGATTAAAAATTAAGTAGAGGTCGGCCGTGACAGAAGCAAGAACATAAACACCGAGGTCGAGGCGTCTATAAGGGCCTCGAAGACTCAGAGCAGCGAAGGTCAGGAGCAGTTTAAAAGAGAACCATTGTTTCAGCTCCGGAAGGTATATATGTCGGCGAGTATATAAAAGCAGATAACGAAGGAACTGCGGCGTAAGCGGCCTTTGAGCAAAGCAAGGTAAGCAGAAACGAGGGAAGTAGACGACAAAATAGTGATGTTGAACGAGAGACGGTCGAGTTTGACTTTGGCAGAAAGGCGAAGTTTAGCGCTGCAGGATGTATGGCAAAGTGGCAGGCGGCTCAGACCCTCAGAGACGATTAAGGGATTCCTTCAAATCATTTGATCAGTCAGGCGCAAGTCAAGTTGCCAATTCCTTTGAGCCCGCTATGCACCGATGGGGATGGCCGACGGATGGATTATGGAACGACCGAGACGGTATCTAACGCCGGCCGAGCCTGCAGTAGAATGACCCAAGGACAAAAATAGAGGCGAGGTTTGCAGGCTAGACCAGGCTAGAGTGGTTGGGTGTCAGAAACACAATAACTTGAGGCAAAGGCAGCTCGGACGAGAACCAAAGGCGCTCGCTAAGGAGCGTGGCAGCCATCTGGGGGGCGAAGCGGCCGAGACGATGGAGACGAAAAGAGCCAAACGCAGGAAAGGCAGGTTTCATTCGTGGCCGGCGATTGCAGGTGGCCACGAACTAGGATTGTCGCGATGTTGTGGAATCTGCATGGTCTGTTGACCGCACCAGCCCAATGCCAGGGAGTATAGCGCGGTTGAAACGAAATGGGGCCGGTTAGGCTCTTTGGCAATGCTGTGATTGGGCATTGTGGATGAAGGCTCTCTTTGACCAGTGGATTGACTGTGCAGAGACGGGTCGGTGGATGTCTGGAATCTGGATGATGGCAACGGAGTCTCAGAGTCTGAGATGGAAGAGTGGAGACTGATGTCGAGTCAGCAGAGTAGTTTTGCAAATACAGCAGGCGCGGCCTTGGCGTTACACGGGTCGATACTCATACATACCAGTCTGTCATACAGATGATTACGAGTACCATACGCGTGACTGCGGACTGCGGACTGCTGACTGTGCCACTGCCGACTGCTCGGCTATTCCTCCTCCGCTTGCTTTCCCCTGCATACAATGACTCGATGGCGTCCATGTGCGATGGCTGCCGTTGTACCTTGCACCATTCTCCCTCAGCTTTCGATAAATTGAGATTGACTCCCCAAACCTGCTGCTAAGAACCCAATCTCGCTTGGGAATCCTGCCTACGAATGTCATTGTTTGCCAGGCGATAGCGCCGTGGCGCGATGTCTCGAAAAACGAGCAGTCCCTGGCGCCACTCGACCAGTGCGGACTGAGACTAGGCGAAATGAACTGCAGCTAAGGAGGCTCGGGCCTGCTCCTGGCAACGGACAAGAAGGATTGTTCGCTTATACTTCCTTTCTACTATCGCAGTCACAATCCGTCGCCCCATATTCCGGCCTTCCACCCTTTCAGCCTTCGGTTGCGTCTTTAATCTCAGAAATTAGATCCATCACGACTCGCGTGGTTCAACAGAAATCCCCGTAGTGGAGCAGTCCAAGGTGAGACAGGAAATCGCCAGCGAGATGAAGCAACGGGAGTCTGGCATAAATAGCAGTTAGCAGGCCTCGTCACCTGGAGATGGATCTGGATTCTGGATTCTGGAGGCTGTCAACGGCTGGACTGAGCGATCACCATCAGCGTGTGTGCATCTCCATCTCCACCCCTATCACCACCATTCCATTCGTTTATTCCAATCCAGCCTAGTCATTCGTTTGCCTGCACCTGCACCTGCACCGTACCTGCGGCGGCCAGTTCGCAATCATCATGGTTGCTCCAACGCTGGTCCTCCAGATCGGATGTTTCTTTGGCTTTTTAACCTGCGACACTCCCCGCGGTGTTTGGCCTGAAGGACGTCCGACTGTCATTTCTCCGTTCCCCCCTGGCCCGAGTCAGTCGTATACCACTTCGGTGACTTCGACTTCGACTTCGACCCAGACCAGCATCACCTTTACTTCGACCTCTACTGGTCCGACGGTGACTGGCATTCCAACCCCTTCCGTCCCCGTGACTACTCCCCCACACACGACCCTGACCACAGTCACCACTCGACCAACGTCCACTGCCGACTCGACCACCATCTCCAGTACTGTCGTTGACCCGTCCAGCTCTTCTACTATCGTTCCCGACCCTAGCACTGACCCCGGCACCTCTCAGCCCGGCACTTCTGAGCCTAGCACTTCTGAGCCAACCAGTACTGCCACTGAGCCTGGTACCTCTCACCCCGGTACCTCTAGTGAGCCTAGCACTTCTGAGCCCAGCACTGCTACTGAGCCTGGTACCTCCCAGCCCGGTACTACTGAGCCTGGTACCTCTGAGCCTACCAGTACTGCCTCGGACCCGAGTACCTCTCAACCCGGTACATCGGAGCCTACCAGCACTGCTACTGAGCCCGGTACTTCTGAGCCCACCAGCACTGCTACTGAGCCCGGTACTTCTGARCCCACCAGCACTGCTACTGAGCCCGGTACTTCTGAGCCCACCAGCACTGCTACTGAGCCCGGTACTTCTGAGCCCACCAGCACTGCTACTGAGCCCGGTACTTCTGAGCCCACCAGCACTGCTACTGAGCCCGGTACTTCTGAACCTACCAGCACTGCTTCCGAGCCCAGTACTGAGCCTGGTACTTCCACCGAGCCCGGTACCTCCACTGAGCCAACGCAGACTTCGACCAGTGTCGTCGATCCCACCTCTGACCAGTCAAGTACTGCCACCAGTACCCCTGGCTCTGATCCTTCAAGTACTTTGACTTCTTCAAGTACCTCTAGTGCTGATCCGTCAAGCACTTTGACCTCTTCGGGCACTCCGACCACTAGTCCTTCGGATACTGTGACTACTTCCAGTACCCCAAGCACTAGTCCCTCGAGCACTCTCTCTTCCACCTCGACCTCTACTCTGAGTCCCTCTACTAGCCCGTCTAGTACTGTGACTTCTACCTCGACTACCCCCAGTGCTAGTCCTTCGACTTCCACCTCGACCACCCCTAGTGCTACTCCCTCTACCTCAACCTCGACCAGCACTACCCTCACTCCTACCACTACTCCTTCTACCTCCTCTACTCCCACACCCTCCCCAACCATGTCAACAACCACAAGTGTGGCCCCCGTGGCCACCGGCACCTTGGCCGCCAACATCCTGGTCATCGCCCGTGACGCGACCCAGGCCAGCGTTGCCTCCTCCGGCCTCAACGGCTACGGCATCCCCTACACCACCCTCCTGGTCCCCCAGGCCGGTGTTGAGCTCCCTGCCCTGAACTCCTCTGCCGGCGGAAACTTTGGTGGTATCGTCGTCGCCGGCGAAGTCAGCTACGACTACGGCAGCGACACCTGGCGCTCTGCCCTGACCGACGACCAATGGAACCAGCTCTACGCCTACCAGCTCGCCTACGGCGTGCGCATGGTGCAGTACGATGTCTTCCCCGGTCCTAAGTTCGGCGCCGAGTCCATCGGAAACGGCGGCTGCTGCGACACCGGCGTCGAGCAGCTCATGTACTTCACCGACACCACCGACTTCCCCACCTCTGGTCTCAAGACTGGCTCCTCTGCTGGCGTTTCCACTTCCGGTCTCTGGCACTACACGGCTTCCATCACCAACACGACCACCACCAAGGCCATCGCCAGCTATGCTGCCGGCGGCGGTGTCGACGGCGAGTCCGTTGCTGCAGTCATCAACAACTTCGATGGCCGCCAGCAGATGGTCTTCTTCATCGGCTTCGACACCGTCTGGTCCCAGACCTCGAACTACCTGCAGCACGCCTGGATCACCTGGATCACCCGCGGTCTCCACGCCGGTTGGCGCCGCGTCAACCTGAACACTCAGATCGACGACATGTTCCTGCAGACCGACATCTACCAGCCCAGCGGAACCATCTTCCGTATCACCACCGACGACATGGACGGCATCACCAGCTGGCTGCCCAACATCCGCGCCAAGCTCAACTCCGGTAGCACGTACTTTGTCGAGATCGGCCACAACGGTAACGGCAACATCGAGGCCGGTGTCACCGCCGCCGGCGAAGACACCTGCTCCGGCGGCGCAATCGAGTACGACTCGCCTCCCGACACTGCGCTCGAGTTTGTCAAGCCCCTCGGCACCGGAAGCAACCTCTGGCCCACCTCACCAACAAACTACACCTGGTCCACGACCTGCGAGCAGGCCGATACCCTCCTAACCTGGTTCCAGAGCCACATGGACGACTACGCCTACCTCAGCCACACCTTCACGCACCTGGAACAAAACAACGCGACCTACGACGACATCTACAAGGAAATCAACTTCAACCAGGTCTGGCTGCAGCGCACTGGCTTCGCTGCTTCCAGCAAGTTCACCAGCAACGGCATCATCCCACCCGCCATCACCGGTCTGCACAACGGCGACGCCCTTCGCGCCTGGTGGGACAACGGCATCACCAACTGCGTCGGCGACAACACGCGCCCGGTCCTGCTCAACACGCAGAACGAAATGTGGCCGTACTTCACCTCGACTGCCTCTGACGGCTTCGACGGCATGCAGGTCAACCCCCGATTCGCGACCCGCATCTACTACAACTGCGATACCCCCGCCTGCACGACGCAGGAGTGGATCGATACCTCCGCGGGCGCCGGCGACTTTAACGACCTGCTCGACACCGAGCGCGCCGAGGTCGCGCGTCACCTGTTCGGTCTGCACCACGACCCGTACATGTTCCACCAGGCGAACCTGCGCAACGTCGGCACCGACCCGATCACGGTGGGCAGCGAGACAGGCCAGTTCAGTATCTTCCAGGCGTGGGTTGAGACGATTGTGGCGGAGTTTACGCGCCTCGTGGATTGGCCGATTGTCACCATTACGCATCAGGAGGTACGCGCCCTTCTTCTTCCTTTTCCTCTTCTAAAAAGCAATGTGTGCTAACGGTTTACGTGCAGATGTCCGCTGAGTTCCTGGCCCGGTATACCCGCGACCAGTGCGGATACGCCCTCAGCTACATCCTCGACAACGGGGCCATTACTGGCGTGACGGTGTCTGCAGAGGACGCCTCGTGCAGCGCCCCGATCCCCGTTACGTTCCCCACTGCGCCGTCGAGCACGCAGGGCTTCGCGACTGAGCAGCTCGGCTCCGACCCGCTTACTGTGTGGGTGCAGCTGTCGGGCTCGCCTGTTACCTTCTCGCTTAGTAGCAGCATTGCTCTGAGCTAGATTGGTTAATGACAGTCGATTCGAATGGTTTGTGATAGTAGGGTGGTGGATGGTTGGATGGTTGGATGAAAAGCTGCCAACGCAGCACGACACTCACTCACTTTCTCCCTTCTATTCCCTGTTCAAGTTCAACACTACTATTCTATTCTAGTGCGCTACTACTGTACCTACTTACTGGACCTAATCATAATCCTTAGTTGTTACTAGTGAGCTGAGCTGTAATGTGATGCAATGCAATGTGACGATGCAGTCAGTGTCAGAATCACGTCAAGCCAGCGGCAGAGCAGACTTTGTTAGCGTCAACCAGGATGGACTTTCTTTCCTTCTCGATCCTTCCTCAGTCTCTCGATCAATCACATTGTGCAGCCTCGCCGCTGATCCCTGTCGAGGGTTCTTGGCCTGCAGCATGTCTCAGCGCCCCCTCAACCTCCATCCCTGAAAGGCTGTGCCGTCCTGACGACTCCAAGGATGACAAGACGACAGCACGATGAAATAGATGAATTCGATGAGCAAGCATGGTATAACCCGGCTCTCCGATTCGCTGCGCGGATATTATCCAGGCTGATCTCATCAGCATAGATTAAGTGATCCACCAGCGTAGATTAACTGATCGAGCCGCTTGGATCGTCGGGCGCCACTAATTTTCCTTCTGCCCTGCCTTGGTCTGTCTATCTGATCTTCCGAGCGACTGAGGTCATTGCCATCTACCAGACTACCACCGTGACCAGGCCGGTTATCACGGCACAATGAGGGGTTTTTTGCTGTCACTGTCTGTCCCTGTACTTTGTACAACTCGCATGCGCCTAGCCGCCCGCCCATTGCCAATACATTGGTCAGCACACCATCACAGTCACTGACACTGCCAGCTCCAGCTCCCGCTTCTCCAGGGATGATCCTTTACGGCCCGGGCTCCGGACTGGGGGTGGCCAGTGGCAGTTCCACCTCCGGATTCCAGGCACGGCTGAGCTCGGAGATAAGCTCTTGCTGCAGCCGTCGGGTAAACTTGCCTCGGGCTCGTCGTCGGTCCTTCATTAATATTGCGGTGCGACTGCGACTGCGACTGCGACTGCGACGGCCGTCACACTCAGGATAGCATGACTCGATTCAGGCACCGTACTCCCCCGCCTCCTCCGTACTCCGTGTACGGTAGAACCCGAGGAATACGAGGCAGGGTCTGTCTGACGCTGCGGGAAATCTGATATCGAATCGAATGACTCAGGTGCCTCCGCTGGGAAAGACAGACGTTAGACCCGAGATCCAGGGTCGGAAAAAGCAATGTCACCTTCCTGAACGGTGGGCATGGTGCGCTGGCCGGGCTCTGCAGTCTGCACTGAGTCCACTGACTGACTGGTCGCCCGACTAGCAGGATATTGCTATTAAGGCCGGCAAAAATAGCACTCCCCAACCCATTGGCAATCCAGCCAAGCATGCAAGTCTCAGTTGTTGGCATATCAGGCCACGCTATGGTCCCGGCGGCAGCAGGCTTTGCTTCGCCTGCTTCGCCTCGGTTCCAGGTCTCAAGCTGACGCAGCCAAGAAGTCGCTAGGCGCCGAGAACGGAGGGTCGTCTTGGCCTGCCAGGGCTGGAATGGGCGAGTGAGCTGCCGGCGTGCCTGGCTGGCCCTGATCCTTTGGGCTCTGCTGACTGTGCGCTCTGCGGCTGCTGAGTGGCGAACCTTGTTTCGCTTACTTACAGTACAGAATAACTTACAATACAGAATAGATTACTGGCGGTACTGTAAGAATTGAGTACATGTAATCAACAGACAGTTCAGCCCTAAGACCTTTGAGGCTAGCCCGACCAGGGTCTGTATTCTAATCAAACCACCAATGACCGAGAACTTGGCTTGAGCCCCTCCAACTGTCTGCGTTTGATCTTAACAGTCCTTCTAAGTTCTCCCAGAATTTGCTGATCAGTGATCACCAGACCCGTGTCTCTCTCTAACCCAACCTGAGTCTGACAGCTTCATTCACCACCACCTGTCTCACTCTACTGCTCGCCATCCCTCCAAACTCAATTACCACATGGCTCATGAATCGGAGAGGCCCAAAGCTAGCATGCAAAGGCAATAGCTCAGCGCTAATTTTAGGCTCCGGCATTTCGCTCTCTTGGGCGTGGCTAGACTCAGCCTCGATTGGCGGCAACCAACTGTGAACAAGACCCTGCCCGCGACTGAGACCCTCGCTGAGACCCTCGCTGTTTGATCTGTCTTACTTTGATTTCCATCTGGAGTATACTCAACCTCTTCACGGCTGCCAGCTGGATTGAGTTAGTTGACTTGATTTTGAGGATTCACTGAGCCTGGAGTGCTGGAGCCTGGTGCCTGGAGTGAAGTGACTGGACAGTTGCTTTATTCTCCGTCGCATGCAATTTCAGCCCCTCGCATCGTTACACCGATCTGCTTGTCTCACCTGATTCTCTCCTGCGTCTTTTCATTCAAGTCTCTCCTTAAGACCTCACCTCTCTGGGTAAGACAACCTGGATCATCTTTTTCTCTCGGCGCACACTAACCTCAGCCCTACAGTCCTACCAAACACCAGCATGGAATCCCTCAAAACACCCAGCACGGGCTGGAAGTCCTGGACGGCCAAGAAGAAGGCCCTCGTCCTCACCTCCATCCTCGTCTTCATCGTCGCCGTCGCCGTCGCGCTCGGCGTCGGACTCGGACTCGGCCTGAACAACGACAACGACAATGACGAAGACAACAACGACAACAACACCGGCGGAAACAACACCACCAACAACACCAACGTCTGGCAGCCCGCCGTCGGCACCTCCTGGCAGATTGTCCTCCGCTACCCGCTCAACGATACCTCCGTCGACGTGGACGTCTACGACATCGACCTCTTCGACAACGAAAAGGAAATGATGGACGAGCTGCACGCCGACGGCCGCAGGGTCATCTGCTACTTCTCCGCAGGCACCTACGAGGACTGGCGCGACGACGCAAGCAAGTTCCCGTCCAGCGACATCGGCGATAACCTCGATGAGTGGGAGGGCGAGAGCTGGGTGAACATCAGCTCGTCCAAGATCCGCGACATCATGCTCGACCGGTTGGACATTGCGGTCGAAAAGGGATGCGACGGCGTGGACCCCGACAATGTCGACGGGTACGACAACACGAACGGCCTGGACCTCAGCGAAGACGACACGGTCGACTACATGAATTTCCTCGCGGAGGAGGCGCACTCGCGGAATCTCTCCATCGGATTGAAAAACGCCGGCGCCGTGATCGATCGCGTGATCGGGAAGATGCAGTGGAGCGTGAACGAGCAGTGCGCGCAGTACGACGAGTGCGATACGTACGCGGCGTTTGTGCGCAGGGGCAAGCCCGTCTTCCACATCGAGTATCCCAAGGGCGACGACACGAACAACCAGGTTTCTGTTACCGGGGCGAAGAAGACGAATGCTTGCGACTTTGACGACTCGGATGAGTTCTCGACTCTCATTAAGAATATGGACTTGGATAACTGGCTGCAGGAGTGTTAGCCTACCCTCTACATCACCAGACAGGATAACATTATTTCTTTCGAATGTTGACATAGGACTTGCGATGGCATGGCATGGTTGGAGTTGTTTTGTCTACCTACCTCTCTACGGACTTTACTTTGTTTAATCTTCATACCCGCCTAATTTACTTCGTCTCGTATATACAATACAATGAGCATCAACGTGAACATCCATGGAACAGTCCTTGCTGTCATTTCATCTCCTGACATTCTTTACCTGACTTACAAATTCCAAGATACTCACTCGGCTTACCATTTACCATCCAGTCTTTCCTCAACTCTAATTCCAACCCCCGCATTCCAACGTCCCCGAACCGCAACCCTCCCACCCATGGACGGCCTCTACACACACTACACACACTACACAGCCATCCACAGTTCCCCAACCAGCCGGGATCCCACCTTCCACACCCGGCGCATCACTCAGCCTCCCCGCAGCCTCAATCCCCAGATTCCATCAACGGTTCTCTAATCCGGCCGGGATCCTACCTAGCTTCCAAACCCGGCGCACTCACTCAGCCTTCCCCAGATTCCATCCACGGTTCGCACATAAGCATATCACCTCGTATACCTCGCTGCGTCATACGTTCGCCGGCACTTACATCATCACAACGCTCAGGAACAAAGACTCGACCGTTGGGGATCGCCGGCTCTTACATCACCACAGCACAGAGTTCAGGAACATGACTTGGACCGTTGGGAACCTGATTGCCCGGCTATACCCATTCTCAGATCTGCCGGGCATGTCGCTTCACAGACTCGGCATCAGCATCAGCATTAACATCGCGTCAGCATCAGCTCAATTCCCCCAGATCTCGCGCAACGACAAACAATGGTTCTCGCCCGCGTACTCGCTACCCGCTGCCATCCCCGGCAGCAGATAGGTCACAGCTGCAGAGCAAAGCCCTTGCTCCACCGTCAGCCGCTGAAGTCCTCGCTAACGTCCCTGCGGCCGTAACCGACCTGCACCGCACCTCGTCCTCCCTGCGTTGCAATGCCATGCAATTGCACCTCTCGATGAACCCCGGTCCAGTCTCAATCTCAGGGCTGAGAGCTGAGAGCTGAGAACCCCGCAGGAAGCAAACGACCCATGGTGCGCTGTGCTGTGCAGAATCCGTCGTCCGGTCTAGAGTCAGGGTCTAGACGGCCCCGGGCATTGCCATTCAGCCCTGCCTGCCCGGGCGGCCTCGCTAGCCTCCTCCGCCGGAGTGACTAGTCTACGGAGTAAATAATGGCACGCAAACATACTTGCATTAAACATTGAGGCAACTCGTCTCGAACACTAACACTAGACCCGGAGACCCCGAAATGCAGCCAAGCCAGCGTTGAGGCTCGCTTGTGCTGGATCTGACTTCTTCGGCCGACTATTTAGTATTTAGTATTTACCATAGATCCGGCGTTTGTTGTCCGGTCGAGTGGCGCCCGCCTCTTACAGACGTGGCCAGCCTCGTCCTCGTTTGCTGCGGGCTGTGGCTGTGGCTGTAGTAGGCGTACTTTTTATCCGTTGGTATTTCAGCCGGTACTGAGGTACCTGTATGGCGTACATGTACCGGTACATATCAGTACGGAGATCTGATACCAAGCCAAGCGGTAAAATACGCGCAGCAAAAGTACCGGTACATGTCTGTGTACTGGTACAAAACCAGGTACGGGTAGAAAATACGGTGGAGCACGGAGCAATCGACTCGTTAGCTCCCGAACCAAAATTCGACGTATCACCTTGGTCTCTGGAGTCATGCATCCATGCTCTCTCTCCAAGTCCAGCGGCTAGCAAGCAGATTTTTTCTCTCCATCGACCGCACTGACTCTCTCTTCTGTAGATTTCAAACTTCAAGCTGCCCCTGAATGAGCCCCAGCCAGCAATGCCAATAGCATCAAGATTCCCAAAAACCATCCATCGAACCACGGAAATCCCAGTTTCACACTCAAACCCCAAGACTTCCCAAGCCCATCGAGGCCCCAAATAAAGTGCGCGATTCCACCAAGGTCCTGAGAAGCCTGGGCTTAATTTCCTCCAGGACCAGGACCAAGGCCAGCAGCGTCTAAAAATATGGGCTATGGGACTCTGAGACGCCGATCGATCTCGCACGGCTCGGGGTATCGTCACGGCAGAGTTTAGGCTTGGAAATCAAGTTAATTTGGCTTTAGCATGGCAAGCGCAAGTCAACCATGCGAGTTACTCTCTAGTTATGTGGGTGCGCCCGGCAATGGCCGGCGAAATTATGGGCCTTTGACCTTAGTTCTGGTC